TTTTAGATCTGAAGCAAGAGTGGAGCTTGATTTTCTCTCAAAGATGAAAGCTTTAAGTAGTTGCTGTCGAAACAAAACCTCGTATTTCCAAAATGGTAACTTTACAGGAGAAGGAAAAAAACATACTTTACTTTTAATGTAAGTCAATGGAACCAGACATTTTGCCAAGTCATTTTGCGCCATTTCTTTTGGTCCATTCATCATGAAATTTACAAAAAGGTAAAGGACAACAGGTATTTTCAAATTAGGTCAAAACCTGAAAAGTGACAAAAATGGAGGTACTAGGTTTTGTTCTGACAACAGCGAAGTGCTGTTTATCTGATGGGGACAGTGTAACTTTTAATCATTGTTTTGTACTCCATTTTTGGAAACTCTTGATTTTCACTTTTCTGTTCTTTACTTTTTCTTGTTTTACTTTGACTTTCCTCTTCCTCATGTGTTCCTCATTTCCTCAGGTGGATTATTTTATACCTAATTTCCTCAGAAACATCTGCTGGAAAAATGAAACTTATGATCTGTTTTGAGTGGAAATTACATATATAAAGAGGTCTCTGATTATTGTCCAGTACAGAATTATGTTGTAGAAATGACATACCTTGTATTTATGAGAGTACCTCATTATAATGAGATGCATCATAAAAATGACATTTTATGTCACAATTATGATAAAATTTTATTATTATATGTTGCAATAACAATATCTCTCATAGTTATGAGAAGATGTAACTTTTATGTCTATCTCATAAGAACAAGATGTTCTAGTGAATAATTATGATGTCTTTTTGCGACATCTCATAACAACAAGACTTTCTTGCAGTTACAAGATATGTCAGTTTTACAACATAATCTGGCCATAACGACATGCTGGAAGGGATTTTTAAAATTTTTTTTTGGTAGCCAGCCATATGCCGCCATATAAGACCCATGGTACTTATCGTTACGTCACCAATATAATACACTTTACAGTATGAGTTTCCAGGAGAGACTTCAAAAAATCTCCAACTCCAAAATCAATACTCCGAGAAAAGGGTCTCTGCACGCTCAGAGGCTATAAAAAAGCTCTTTTTATTAAATATATTTATGAAATCGATATACAACAGTCATTTACAACAATAGCCATATAGAAAAACGAACCGCCGACTAAAAGAAATCGTTCTCAATAAGAAAAGCGTGTTATTTTCTTAGAGGGCATGACAGGGTTGCTTTTACTGTCAGGGGACATAATGCACTTCAATAAGGAAAATCTTACCATGGTTGCCTTGGGCACATTCAGTCATGGATTTGGCTGCATTAAGGCAGGAGAGTGTATAAAGCTCACACTGCCTGACCTGCTGGACGTGCTGGACGTGCTGGAGGGTTGTACAGACACAGAGCTTTCATATTACACCCCTCAGCTAGTGGTGATTTATGCTAACAATTTTTTCAGTGCTAATCCCCCTCTGTGCTGGGTCTACTGGTTGAATTGATTATTTTGTATTATCAAGTCCTCACTGTGAGATGTGGACACATTTTTTTTTTTTTTGACAAGACAACACACGATCGATCCTCTAACACAGTGGTCAACAACCCTGCTCTTGGACATCTACTGCCCTGCAGAATTTAGCTCTAACCTCAGCCTACCATATCTGATCCATCTCATCTTTTTAGTCACATGTGGTGAACTAGTGGATCAGGTGAGCGAAACACAGTTCACACTTAAAGCTGGAGTAGGTGATTTTGGAGAAACCAGGAAGTGTAAGCTAGTTTTTGAAAAAAATCCCATCCCTACTTTCAGCCCTCCTGCTAAACCCACACCTCCCCAAAACACATGAATGCACACAAACTAATACATAGCGTTGAACTGATACATAACGTAGCTATATAAGTTGCTAGCTATGCTGGCTACACAATTCAGGAAAATCACAAAGTCCATCATAAACAAAAACAAACCAGATAATTACTGATCCAACAGAAAAATAGCAACCTTGGTGTCGCTTTCCAGGCTTTTCAACTCTCTCAGTTTTCGCCACCCTTGGAAAGCCACACCGATGTTTACTCTGGTTTGCCCTCTTGCTTTATCCAGCCCTTTTGTTCAAAGCCTTTTCTACTTCTGTCTTTCTTTTCTTTCTTTCCTTAGTAGTGCAAGCTATTGTAGGTACCTGTGTAACTTTCTCTGCCATTCTTGTGGACCTAGCTTGCTATATTTCTGCTGTGTGTATGTAAAGATATACGAAGGACTCCGCAAATATGCAAATGAGTACAAGCTCAGAACGTGCACATGTGGGTAGGTCATGAGGTAGGTGGGATAGACAGGGTTGGGCAGGGTTGGGCAGGTTTTTACAGTCCTTTGGCCTCCACAGATAATGATTATCAGAACATGATTATATTTTTTTAATGCCAGAGCATTTGATTTATCAACTGCTTTCAGGAGGTAAAGAATATTTCAAGAAATATACCAAAAATGAATCTGAAATAAATCACCTACTCCACCTTTACCCAACTACAGACGATGGTTTTAGAACGTACTACAAAGCAATTTGATGAGTGTGACTCTAGTTTTAGAACGTTAGAACATAATAGGTATGCTGGTTGGAGTTTTAAGTCTAACGTTTAGTTTTTGAAAGATACTTCATTTCCTCGCTTGGCCAATGTCTGCAGTGCATGCTGTTGTATTTATTATGTATGTAAACGATATCTGTTCTGATTGGCTGCCCTGCATTGTGTCCACACTGACACATACCTCATAACTTCAATGTGAGTATATCCAAATATGTGGATATACATTTACCGGCAACATTATAAGGTTTTCCTACCTTGTGTCTATACTCATTGTCCATTTTATCAAGTCCACTTATTACACCTCAAGTCCTTTATTAGTGGTTAGTTTCTGCCCACAGGACACTGCGGACACAATATTTTTGGTTGGCAGACTAGACAGACTCTATTACAATAGCTTCAGAGAGTGAAAGTGAACAGATAAACTAATAAAAAAAACTAATAAATACACTAATAATACATGATGTTCAGCTTTATCTTTCAATTTCAATTGATTCCAAGTATTATAAACTGATGAGAGTAAATATCCCTGTACACAGATAAGCCAAAACATTATGATCACTCCACCTTCCAACTTAAGGGACTTACAGGATCTGCTGCTAATGCCTTGGTGCCAGATACCACAGGGCATCTTCGGAGGTGTTGTTGAGTCAGAGCTGTTTTGGCAGCATGTGAATGACTAACAGTGTTGTAGGTAGGTAGTCATAATGTTTTGCCTCATGCGTGTAAATTTGAACAATAAAACTTATTTCAAAAGTTCTTAACTTGGCCCTGAGGTTAATATTCTAAGACCTGCTTTGCTGGCTATCAGAGTTTTAGCCCTCAGCATGGAGAGAAAATCATTAAAAAACATTGCTGCCTTATGCTAAAGATATATTTGTTCATTCACTTAAGTCATAGAATAAGCCATCATTAAAATTCTTATATTTTCAGCTCATAGGCACTAACAACTGATAAGATACCTGATCCACCATGCCAGTGTAACTGCAGTACTGAGAATGATCCACCATCCAAATAATACCTGCTCTATGGTGGTCCTGTGGGGGTCCTGACCATTAATAAACAGGGTAAAGAGAGATGGACTACACTCTGTAATTGTAATGCCCCTCTATGGCAAGTGGAGCTGATAAAATGGGCAATGAATGTAGATACAACATAGGTGTATCTAATGAAGTGGACACTGTATATATAAATATTCTGGGCTTGTGACATCATAAAAACAATGAATTCAAAACTGGTTGTTTTACCAGTTTAACTTATATTGACTGGGGAGTAAATGGTAAGTTTTGAAGCTTTAACAATATATATACATATATATATATATATATATATACATATATATATATATATATATATATATATATATATATATATATATATATATATATATATATATGATGGAAACCTGTGTATATTTACACAGGTTTCCATCACATAGCCCCTTAAAGCTGCTGTCTACAATGTCTGAAAGCTGTCTCTGCTGCCTCGTCTTGTCAGATGATGGTGAACTGGGCTTGGGGGGGTTCACACTGCATTTTTATTACGGTGGAAAAACGTAGGCGGAGTGCACAGTCTTTGTTTTCTTCTGAGTTCATGCTCATGCTGTGTTGCACGCTGTGTTGCAGTAGCATGTGCTAGCTAGCTATCCTTTAATATTTACGTGCATTCCAACTAATTTTGATATTCAAGTATCCGAGTATTGACTAAAAAATGGACTTTGGTCATAAATAATGTAGGCTTACCTTTTTAGGGAACAGCACAAAAAATAGTTTATATAGTTTAAGGTTTTATTGTTCAGAAACAGCCAAAAGATTAGGGTTAAGTTATCTTTAAGTTATCTTTTACACAAGTTTTTTCATCTTAGTGGTTTATGTGCCAACATGTTATTTGTCAGAGAAACATATTTTCATTGGTTCTGGACTGAGCTAACATCAGCAAGAGTAGTTAGCGTAGTTAGTGACAGAGCTCTGCTACATCTTCCTTCTCAGCCACGTCCTACATAACATACTTCCTCGCAAATACGTGCAAAACCCTTGTGTTTGGCTGAATTGTTCGCCTGTATATCTTCCCATGATGAAATGCAACAAATAATGATTTCAGTATTTGTATACTGATGTCTCAAATGATCGACCGAGTGCTCGAGTGCCTGTGCACAACCCTAAATTCCAGAATGCTCTGGCGACTTTCACTTTTATAAAGTGATCTACTATTAACTAGCAAACAAGGTGTTGCTAATAAAACAAGCTAAACCAAAACAGCTGCTTTCTTTTTTTATTTTGTGCTAATTTTGATCGTACAGTTGAGGATACTCAAAGTTCACTTTCCGTTTGATAGAATTGATCAGAACAGAAATAAAAGTTTTACTACGTGTTTGTTTCGAGTTGAACTCAGGGTGCGCAGAGTGCTCCGTACAGAAGTCAGTCTCTCAAAACGCATCTCTCCTTTTGAAACCAATAGAAAAAAGGCGCCTCATTCTGCCAAAAACATGTCCAGTGTGAACCTCCCTTTACAGCTTGGGTATCTCCAGGACGACTGGGTTGATGACCACTGCTCTAAAACAAGATCTGAGAAATGCAGCCACCGATACCAAAAATCCATCTCTCTGAAATGCCCCCCTTAGTGGTCTGGGTCCATTAGCTAGAGAACCCACGCTCTGTTCATAAGCTAGAAGCCACAGCTTACTTGTGCTTAGCATAGAAAGTAAAGTTTGCCTCTTGGACAAAAACACCATTTTGTTTCCTGTCTTGGGCTTCTGCATCAGAAGTGTGTGGGTTGGGCATGACTTGCTGCATCTTAATGCATTTCAGTAATATCATACAGCGCATAAAAAAATCCATTTCTCCTCATATAAATGATGCCACACTGTTCTCTTAAAACCATTAATCTTCTTCCCAGCACCTTTCAGAATAGGTTCTTTTTCACATTACTCTTTCCATTAGCCAGATTTCTGTAAAGCATAACCAGCAACAGGGGAGTCCTTCAATCCCAGCTGAACAAAAACCTATGATCCCATCCAACCTGGATCAAGGCTCAGCGGCCGTCTGTTGACTGACAGCCTGTTTTAAAGATGGCGCAGAGGGGTCGGAAGGCTTAGGCGTGGGCAGCACGCACTCATGTTAGGCTGTTTGTGAGCCTGACACAGGTGCAGAAGTAAAGTCCAGTCAGATGAAGTACTCCTTGCTGATGCGGCTTGCTTTGTGAGGGTCTAGATCTGGCCGGTAGACTGGAGGCTCCAGGCTGGGTCGCTGATTCTTTGCTGTGATGACCTGAGGTGGTGGGGTCTGCCGGTGTCGGTAGAGGTAACGGATTATCACGGCCAACGCACACAGAGTGGTGAACACTACAGCAGCTACGACTCCTGAGAATGAGATGGGGAAGCAGAAGCCGGTCATTCCATAAGCTTCCTACATATTGGACAAGTCATTCCAGAAGTAAAACATTTTATTAGATTTAGGTTTTACTTTATATTTTAGTACTTTTTGGAAAAAATGAATCAAATTTATTGGTTAGATGCCAGGCAAGATGAAGCTTCAAATTTGATGTGGGTAAAAAAAATGAAACTGGTATTAAATAGTAACTGTAATAACTGTAAAATAACAGGAACTAACTGCGATAACAACTAATTATCTATTTAGAATAATTTCTTATCGCAAAATTACTACCTATTTGATCAGTGAGATTTGGTCACCACTTTTCAAATATGAGGCATTCCAGATATTAATTTTATTTCTTGGTTCATTCTAGACGTTAACAACTCTATCAGTTACTATGAGATCATCTACAGCTCTGTTCATCAACAATGTCTTACATTTTACTGCTTCCCACAAACTGTTTGAAATCTATACGCATATACACTGCAACAAAACTGACTCTATATTAATAAAAAAACATTGATTCCACACTTCTGAACAGCAATTTCAAACTTTTGAATGGTAGTTTAGCGAATGCAGTCGCTTAACATATTCAGCATCATGCAAACGGCATGCCTACACCATAAACACTTACTTCAGAAGTTGTTTCATCATCTTAAATAGACTTGTTTATGTCATTTCTGACAGTTTATGACATTGTTATAAAATGGACAAAAGTCACACAGCTAAAAACTGCAGAATCAGCCATTTTGAAGCTTGAACTTTGTTAATTTTTATAAATAATGATGTCATACAGTGTCAGGCTATAATCCGGACCTGGTTTGAGTCAAGTATGTGATGACTTAGGTATGCAGTTTTCACAATTGCTAGTTGGTGGGGTGTAAGCTTCTAATACTAGCAACTTTGGTGTTATACAAACCCAGTTCCAAAGAAGTTGGGACAGTGTGTGAAATGCTAATAAAAACAACAACTGCATTAAATTCAAAATGGTACAAAAACACATTTTATGTTATACCTTACTAACTTCATTGTTTTTTTGCAAACATATGTTAATTTCAAATTTGATGCCAGCAACATGTTGCAAAAAAGTTGGGACCGAAGCATGTTTACTGCTGTGTTACATCATCTTTCGTAATAAATGTTTAGGGATTGAAGAAACCAAATTATCCAGTTTTGAAAGTGGATTTTTTTTTTTATTTCAGCTGTGCAACCATACAGGGCCTTTACTGTTGTGACTTACATAGTGACTACATTTGTGGTAAGGGGAAAATTGTGAAAGGTTTTGCCAAACTATCACTTTAATCAGGAATAACTGGTGGGTGGAAATGTTACAGTTGCATTTTTAGCAAAGTGCACTGAAAATAGACCAGTGCATCAGCAGTGATGTGTCTTCGTACAGGAAAGACTACTGAGCATAATTTCTAGAGAACATTGTACAAAGCTTTCCAGCAACGTAGCCTCCTGAGGTTCCTCACCTCCAATTAGTGCTGAGTCATTCTGTGCTGCTTTCTTCAGCGGTGCGTTCCCTCGGTCTGATTTTGATGAGTCGTCTGTTGGAAAGGAGAAAGGATTGTGGGTGAGAGGCTCTTCTTAAGGACTGATATTTACAGCAATATAATATATCTAATAAAATAAGCATGTAGGCTTAATAATGTATCAGATGTTACAGACATAGAAAGACCTTTGCAGTGCAGTCCACTGAATAAGTGGCCATGACCATTATGTACCTGAGAGTGTGTGTGTGGTAGTGAGAGTGTTTGTGCTTGACGTAATGCCACAGCTTGACTCCTCCAATCGGCCGTGTATGCTGACCAATGAGCTTCCTTTGTTTTGCAGGGCCGTCTTCAGAGGGGCAGCCTCATTAAACTGGACAGAGGACAAACAGCCGATGAACCCTCTCGATCCTGCACGGACCACCTCTTCGTCAGTGATGTCACTTCCTGCAACCAAAGAAGATGGAAACAGCGGTATTTACTTTAGATTAATTAACATACATCACTTACATCACTAAAGTTAGGTGGCTAGCCAGTAGACAGTAATTTTGAGTCCAACGTCCAATTTCCAAGTTAAAGGCTAAAAAAATGACGTGTCAAACACATCAATAGAGCAACAGATGAGTTCCTAACTTATCATTTTCCAATATAGTATATAGTAGAAAATCAGTTGCGTTTTTTCTACATGTATTTACTGTAAATACACTACTAGAGCACCTAATATAAAGTGCCACAGAGAAAAAGCTGTCAAGAAACCCATGCAAATCTGACTGAAATATATAAAAAAATCTTGTAGAAATATAAAGTCTGACAAACAATAAAACAATAAAAACAATAAAAAATAAAAAAATAATAATAAAAAACAATATATATATATATATATATATTTTATATATATTTTATATATATATATATATATATATATATATATATATATATATATATATATATATTATTGAGGTGATAGTGAAAGTCATCAGGGTCTTCTTAGCTGTTTTCTCAGAGAGCAGAGAGTGAGGCCAGTGAGACATTTCCCCCAATATTTCACTCAAAAATTAAAGTAAATTCCCTCTGCAAACCTCTTAACCATTTATATCAAAGCACAGCTTAGGTTGTCAGCTTCTGAAAAGAGTTTTCAGAGTTAATATCAGTGTTTACTGGACATTAAACCTCCAGGGAGGTCCATTAGCTTTTGCCTAGGCTTCAAGGCAAAAGTAGCATTCATTCAACCTCATGTTACTTGGCTGCACATGTTTTATAGATTAAAATCACAGTGTCCTATGTAAACGTATCTTATCTAATGTCTTGTTGGTGATACGATTAGAGACTTTTTTCCCCTTTAACCCTCTTAAAATTTGCACCAGATTAGTTAAGATGTGTGCATGTCCACATATTAAAATTCATCAGAATGTGGAATTAGAGCTTTCTGTGGGCTACTGTGTTTCCTATCACTGTATAAAAGAAGTGCAATTCTGCTTTACTATTGGATTCATTCAGAACTGAATTCAGATCACAAATGGCTTTTTACTGTTTTGCTTCATCACAGTAACATTAAAAGGCATCTGAAGTGCGAAATATTCAAAATGTGTCAACTGCACTGAGAAATCAAGTCATTATCAAAGAAGTGTAAAAGGCAGAAATAGCCTGTTTTCCTCTCAGCATTAAAAGTTAAAATTCTCTCTGATTCTGAGCATTATCAGATCTGACTTCTGTTCGCAAGCGAGCACAAATCATTCTGATCATTCCAATCGTAGATGGGTTTTATCATCAGTATAGACCAGTTCATTACTAATTTCTGAGAGAGTTCTGCCAAGGCTGCAGCCCAACTGAAGAAATCAATGAGTCCATTTCTGTTCCCACAGAGCACTTTGTCTTTCTGGCTACGTTGTTTCACTATTAATGACTATTGATAGTTTTGATGCAGCTTGTAGTATTTGGGCAGGTGTTTTATTGCAAATTTATCTCTAACAGTGCCCTTTCTCCCCAAAAATACAAAGGTCGCGCCACATCCAGCTCTACTTATTAGTTACTCGATTAAAAGAAAGGTCTCCTAGGCAACGGCGAGCAAATGCATTTACCCTTCACTCAACCCATCTGTTTCTGCACTGACAGCTCAGAAACTGCTCTCACTCACAGCCCTGCCAACCACCCACCTCATTCTAACCTGCCTCAGAGAGAGAGACAGAGAGAGAGAGAGAGAGAGAGAGAGAGACAGAGAGAGAGACAGAGACAGTTTAGTGGGAGAGAGAAAGAGAGAGACAGAGAGAGAGTTAGAGACAGAGTGTAGTGAAAGAGAGTGGGAGAGAGAGGGAGAAAGAGGGAGAGAGAGAGAGAGATAGAGGGATAAATGGGAAAAGAGAGAGAGAAAGATAAAGAGAAAGAAGAGCGTGGAAGAGAGAGAAAGTCAGGGAGAGAGAACATGTTTGGGAGAAACAGTGAGAGAGTGAGCGAATGAGAGAGAGAAAGTGAGTGGGTGAGAGAGAAAGAGAGAGGACAGAAAGAGAGAGAGGGAGAGAGAGAGATGGAGAGAGAAAGAGAAAGGAAAGAGATAGAGAGAGAACGAAAGAGTGAGTATGACAGACAGACAGAAACAGAGTGACAAAGAGAAAGAGAGGGAGAGAAAGAGAGAGAGAGAGACAAGAGGAGAGAAAGAGAAATGGGAAAAGAGAGAGACAGAGAGACAAAGATGGAGAGAGAAAGTGAGTGGGAGAGACACAGAGAGAGAGAGAGAGAGAGAGAGAGAGAGAGAGAAAGTGAGTCGTGAGACAGGGACAGAAAGAAAGAAAGGAGAGAAAGGGAGGAGAGAAAAAGAGAGAAAGAAAGAGTGAGTATGACACAGACAAAAACAGAGTGCCAGAGAGAGAGGAGAGAGAGCGAGAGGCAGAGAGAAAGAGAGAGAAACAGAAAGAGAAAGAAAAAATGAGTATGACACAGACAGACAGAAACAGAGTGACAGAGGGAGAGAGAGAGAGAGAAAGAAAGAGAGAGAAGGTGAGATAAATCAGTGAAACTCATCATTAAAATTCATGGGGAATTATAGTAGCACTGATTGCGAGCGCCTCTTTTCGGGTGGTGCCAGAAACGCTCCACTCAGCCCAGTGCCGCGGTATAAAAAATGGCGAATGGGGAACAAGCAGAACAGAAAACATTCTTCTGCACTGTCTGGAACTCACCTCGCATCCTCCCCAGGGTTAACGTCCTCATCGGTGCGAGCACGGAGCCAGGAGACAGGCTGTATTGCTGCGTCACTGTGTTATCGATCTGCAGGCGCACAGAGGGATCAAACAGAGATCATTTATACCACTTATTGAAAAATGAAGATTTATTAGACAAGGCCGCTGTGAAATTCGAGTAATGATGCCATCGATATAAAGAATGTTCCAAGGGTGGATTAAGTCGGGTATTCTTAAAAGTTAGTGACACATTTAGGATGAAAGACTCAAAAAGATTTACAGCAAAAATGCAAAACACTTTTATATCGACGGTAAATGCAGATAAGTCACTGAATATTTCAGTTTATATGTGATCAGCATCTCACTCTACCACTATATTACTTTATCTGCAGACTAAACTGACTAATAACTCATTTAAAGTTATAACTTACTGTCTTTAATCACTGCAATCAACACAACAATGGCCAACACACTGAATCAGCTAATTTTGCTACAGTACAGTTTTGATAAGAGTACCGAGAGAAGAAATTAGGCATGCTGGCTGACATCCAAACTAGCAAACAATTTCAAAGCAGAAGGTTGTATGTCTGTGGTTCTTTTATGACTTGCATCTGGGTGGCCCAAGAAAAGTTTCCGCTGGTGGGACAAGCAAGTTAATTAAGCAAAACAAATGGTCAAAAAATTATCCTTGCAGACCCTAAAAGCAATTTTTTTTCATTTTCAGTGCAAAATCTAAGAAAAAAAAACATGCATTAACCATCTCAGTGGTGAGTTAACACAAGTAACGGTTGAGTTTTTAGCACAGAATTACAGAGAATATAGTTAACTACTTAATTAAAATTTATTATTCCAAATGAATAATTGGATTTTAATCTATAATTAATTTAGGTAACAGGGTTGCACTTTCAAAGTGACTTTGTCAGTCAATACCACAACATCACTGAAAATAAAGAAAAATTAATAGAGAACTTTGATTTCTTCTTCCCATGATCTTTAGGAGGCTTTCAGTCAGACATGTGCCTTGTGGAATATTCCAGTATATTTCATAGGGTTGAATGTGTTCAGGTAACAGGGTTGAGTGACTGCCATGGGACACAGCTAAAATGTACATTTTTTTTCATAAACTATAATAGATGCCTCATGAAAAGGGGTATTTCAAGCAAGACATGTTAAAAGTTGTAATAATTGTAATATCAGTGGGACACAAATGGCACCCCAATCGTGGAATCACCTTTAAACTGATGCTGCATAAGACTCCCACTGCACTTCAACACTATCAGCTAAAATTCCAATACTGGACTTATAATGATTGCATTTTTCTGTTTATCAGTGAAGAATATACATGCACCTCTACTAAATATTCATCTAATAATTTTTATTTTTGATATCATTCTGTCCTCGCAGAGAATGACGCACAGGTCAGAGGGCTCACCTGGACATAAAGTTCCTTTCCCTCACGGTTCATTCGGATCCAGTGGAACTGTCCATCAGCTAGACTGGCAGAGCTAGGGCTAAACGTGTCCGGACCTCTCTCCTGGTTCAGCCTGTACCAGATTTGCAAACTGCCTGGGAGAGCATAGGCAAGCTTATAGAATTAAAACATTTAATTTTAGGGTGACAAAGAATTACTACAGAAAGAGCTCAGAATGTAGTGTACAGCAGAGAGAGGTTTTGTTTACCACAGTTAAGGGCCGTCATTAGGCATGTGAAGCAGCAAAAGGATACAATTTAACAAAGTAAACCATTGTTTGATATGAAATACATTTTACCCAATTTTATTCCAATTCCACCTGTTAACTAGGTGCCCTATCAAACAGTGCTACCAAGCTGGGAGGGTGAAGACTAGCACACACTTGAACACTTGACATGTGAAGTGCCATCACACTAGCAGATGGCATTTACACCTATCAGGCATAACATTATGACCAGTCCAGCAGTGACACTGAGGTGTTTAAAAACTCCAGCAGCACTGCTGAGTCTGATCCACTCAGACCAGCACAACACACACTAACACACCACCACCACATCAGTGTTACTGCAGTGCTGAGAATGCCCCACAACCCAAATAGTACCTGCTCTGAGGGTCCATGGGGGTCCACCGAAGAACAGGGTAAAAGGGAGCTAATAAAGTATGCAGAGAAACAGGTGGACTACAGTCTGTAATTGTAGAACTACAAAGTGCACCTATAGAGTAAGTGGAGCTGATAAAATGGACAATGATCGAAGAAACAAGGAGGTGGTCATAATGTTATGCCTGATCAGTGTATACTGCCTTATAATGTCTGGCATAGGCTTGTACAATTCTTTAGAAGCTGTTAAGGTTAAATGCATCATAAAATAAGAGTACGTAACTTTGTTGTGTAACTCTGTAACTCTGACACTCTATAACAAGGTCTTGGTATATTTTCTGCATCACAACACACCCAGGCTTACATCCAGGTACTATAAAAGATACTTAACGCCAGGGGTGTTGGCTTGGCATGAAAAGATCCAGGGCTCAGCCAATTCACTGTAGAATTGCTTTGGTATCTTCCCTCCAGAAATATTCTGCAAATTAACCTGTGTGCAGTTGTTACTTTTTTATTTATTGTGAGGTTTTACATCACCAAAATGTGTATCAATTCAGCAATGTTGACTGGTATGTCTTGTAACCAAAATCAAAAAGCAAAAGAAAAGTGAAAACACTGTAACAGAAGCCATGTGTGAAAAACAGATGTTTCCCCAATAATGACATTATTAAAGCTCTCTCCATCTCTTTTACACATCTCTTCTCAAATGTCATAATAACTGCAACATTTCGTCTGTAGTTTTTTACATGTTTTGAAAGCTAAACAGTCATTCAGTGAAACTCTTCTTGCCTAAAACCAAACATGTTTTTATATAATATGTTTTATATAATGTTAATATAAAAGTTCATGCTAAAACAAAGCATCCCGTCTTGGTCATTTTGTGTCCTGATAAACGTTGTTCGAGGTGTGCAAAACTCTTTTGTATATTCAGCCATAGTTTTTCATGGGTGATGTTTTATGTACACTAAAAACTGATTGGACTTAACATTTTAGGCATGTTGGCTGCCTGAAAATTTGAACATTAATGTACTTCAAATTATGAGTTAGGGGAATTAACACACATGATAACTGTAATGTTAACTTACTATTCGATGTTGAATGAAATTGACATTTTAAAACAGCTTATTTACCCTTATAACTTTAAAAGATGTTTTTTACAGTGTAGTAGATTTGCCTTTTTTTCTCAGAAACTTCAGGCACTCACACTTTTAATCCCTTGCATTCTAATCACGCACACTCTCCTCTCTCTTTGCCCTGTCTGTCTTTCAGTATCTCTTTTTTCTCATTGTCTATCATGCCACTCTCTCTCTTTCTCTCTCTCTCTCTTTCTCTCTCTCTCTCTCTCTCTCTCTCTCTCTTCTTTTCTATATCCCTGTCTTTCTTTTTCTTTCTCTCTCTTTTAAGGAGTGGTTGAAGATTCAGGGCCGGTTAAAAGATATTCTGGGCTCCAGCCTGGGAAGCCCAGGCCAGGTGATACATCTGCTATATGGAATGTGAGAAAAAGAGCTAATTTTTGGTGGACATGGCACTGCTTTAAATTCTTTTTTAAAATATTTTTTTAACGTGTATATTTTGTGTGAATTTCATAAATTTTGTCAATTTTAACTAACTGGAAAATGTAATCCTAGGCTAGCTGGCTTCAGGTGCTAGACTGTTAGCAGTCATCGACCAAAGCTAAATTGTTAGCAGCACAGACAGCTGTAATTGTACAGGCTTATGCCTGGTATTACAAGATATTATGTTTACCATATCCATGATATTCTTATGCTCCATCACGCCTTGCACAAAATATGTGCAAAACGCTCAGCAATCTGTAAACAGATGCATTAAATCTTAGGCTCGCCAACAACAAAAATGTTGGAGCATACCAACACAGCGTTAAACCGAGTTAATTTTGTTTGACCTCATCCTTCTGTCATAGAAGGCTTGGAGGATGATATGAAGAGGTGGCTATTCACATTAGGAAATATTTTTACATACTTTGTGGAATAATTAGCAAGTGGCAGAGAGGCTACAAATAACCTAAAGAGCTTGGAGGCATGCCAGTATCTTCATAGCAATAAGGTCGGGTGGGTTCTAGTCAAGACAGTAGACAAATCTGTTTACTTAAAAGCAGACATTGAGCCCGGCCAGAGCCTGAAGAGTTCGCACCACCATGAGTGGATGGATACTGCAGAGACAGGAGAGGTTCATACAGCAAGATGGTCAAGTAGGCATGCCACCACTGTTTTATGGAAGTTTAGCCACCAAACTAAATTGTTCATTAATTTAATGAAATTAAATCACCTTAGTCATGTTGAACTGAGACATGATGTTTATTGGCAAAGCTGTTGAATTTGTGATCATAGGATGTATGCAGCAGGGATTATAGTGAATGGAGTGGAGTAAGTTACACATATTTGTATTTCAAACAAATGAATGAATGAATAAATGAATGAGTACTTTTAGTGGGCCACTTTTTGTACAATTGCGAAGCAAGAAACTGTCCTGTGATCTGAGAAACTGCTTCCATTACTGTTTTTTGCAGTTGGCTGTTGATGGATGAAGAACCATCAGTAGGGAGCGCTGGGCCTTCTCGAGAGGTTTGTGAAACATTCTGTCTCCAGACACTGATTTAGCTTTGCTCAGCTGTGGTGATACCCATGAACCCCACATGTAGTCCCTGAACTTCTTAAAGACATTTATCCTAAAATAAAATGACAACAAGCTCACATTGCTGCACCGGCTTCTCCAAAACAATGTTTAACGACTCTTCCATTCACTACTGGATTTTGAAACACAGAGATCACATGAAAAATATTGTCGATAACACCTTATTAATACATTTATAATGTATCATGGATACAGTATACGTAGGAAGTGTTGCCCATAATGATCAAAGATCATTCCATGAATATCATTAATGCAACATTCAGTTAATTTGTGTGGCCATATGTGACCCTGTTCACCCCTGGCATCAACATATGTCCTGGATAATCAGATCATAAGTGGACAGTGCTAAGTGCAAGTGTGACTGGGGTTTATCATCTGCAATATTTATAATCAAATCGCATGGGATGAGAAATCTTGGTATAAATGATAGAGATGGGAGTGGCTACTCAATTAACATACTGCCTTTACTATAGGAAAGGCAGAAAACATGTCAAAACATTTAATTCAGCCATTATTCTGTTTACTCTAACCAGCTATCGGTCAACATCACAACATAAAATCAAACGTTTTTCTAATTTTTTATGTTTTGATGGTTTGAGCTGCACAGTTGAGGAAGGACAGTATATATCAGCTTGACTTAAGCCACAGAGAGTATAAGTAAACACTTCTGCCTCAATAATGAAATAGCTCCTTTTCCACAGGATACCATCTTTAGCGACATGTTAATTCACACAGGATTAATATAACATGGTGTTATTTCTATGACTTGATTTATAGCAAGAATCTTTGCTGGTGTTGGAGCACGCAGTCTATAATAATGATTTACATGGCAGATGTGGTTGAGACTAAAATCACAAAGAAATGCCAGTCAAAATGATCCCACCTCACCAAGTAAAACTAACCCCCTTCAGAACAGTGCTTTAGTAGTAGAGATGCCACAGTACTACTCTTTCTTTTCCAAACCAATACTGATGTTGAAACCTGGAGTATCAATCAATATTGTTCCATTAAAAGCTACTAGGCTTTACAATGGCCATTTTTTAAATTGAAGCCCTTCACTTAAGATAGCATCTAAAAGTAGACAATCTTGCTCAAACTGCTCAAATGCTCCACTACCCCACTGCAAGAAATGCATAGCTAACGTCACGGTGAGTGTGCCCTATTTCAGGCTGGGTTTGTGACAGGATTGGATCCAATCCAGCTTTTTTTGTGTTCTTGAAAAATAAAAAACCTCTTAAATATTCTTAACCCTACAATAGCCTCACTTTTGTCTTAGACTGTACAAATAGACAATATAAGCCTCTAAAACTGTAACTTCTACTGAAATTTACAAAATATGACTGTTAAAATAGACCACTTCTAATTCATTTTCTAGAAGTTTATGAAAGGTTTTATTTTGTTTTTGCTCTATTGCCAATGTAACATGATATCAACAGACTACATGACAATTAAATAACCTACATGAGAAAACAATTACGATTTTCTTAAGAAAATAATTACAACTTTCTTAAGAGAACATTTTAAGAGCCAAGTTTTTTCTTTGGAAAGCTTTTGTAAATCAGGCCCAAAACGGTTCTTCTACTGTTACAAGCTTGATATCATAACAGTAGTGGTTCTCTACAGAACCCTTTTCAAAAAGGTTCTATATAACCATCTACAACTCATTCTCCATCAATCTGAAGAGTCATTTCATGATGCAAAGAACTGTTTAAGCATGCAAATTGTTCCTTGAGTGTTCATGGTTCTATATAGAACCCCTTTATAGGACCCTTGACAACCCATCTTTTCTAAGAGCATATTTATGCACAGCCACTATGTCTAGTGGTTTCAGGAGCTGTAGTTAGCAATCTGCACTGCTTATACGTAACACATTCAAATGCAGGGGTTTTGGGTCTAGATTGGGATTTGGCGCCTTGTTGTTACATTTCTCGCCTCAAGTAATTTACTATCGATTCTCAGGTAGACAGTACTAGTCCAGTGCTAACCTGCCATCTCCTTTTCCATCTCCATCTCTCTCTCTCTCTGTGAGTGATCCACAGATCCTTGTCTGCAGTAAGGGATTTATGAAAGCCAGTCATGGTCACTTGAGGAGATGGCTTTTCACTCTCCTCTGCTGGCCAATAAAAACCTGAGCAGAGTGGAAGAGGAAGTGAGCAGCAGAGAGGAATGAAGTGCCGCCGTGCTCACCTCTCGCTGACAGAAGGAGCTCGTTTCAGAAGGAGGTGTGTGTTTGTGTGAATTTAACAGTGATGGATGTGTCAGTCTGCAAGAAAAGGTGATCAAGGCAGGTGCAGGTTTGAGAAAGAAGACTGTCATTGTTTTTCTTTACAGCGTTTGAGAGTCAAGGCCTGTGACACTGGCTTGGATGGGAGCGTGCCAGTTTAGAACAGCTTTGTGCTTAGTTGGCTTAATTAGCGCATCTCTGTTCACCAGGTCCTGTTATCATCTTTTTCACAACACTGTGAAGAATATGTTGGATATCTGCTAACTGTGATGCTAAGTAATTATATTTGAAGCTCTTATTGGCAAGTCCGTCCACTTGGCAGCTGTCTCGGCAATGCAAGAATATTTGGCTGGTTTGGCTGGTTGGGTGTACCTGGTAAGCCCTATAATATATAATATAATATAATAACTTGTCTAGTGGCAAAAAGAATGTTTATTAATAGACTTCCATTCAAAGTTATCTACTTTTTCTGATGAATTTCTTTCAAGCAAATATTTCAATTTCTATCTGTCATTATTGACCATTTTTTATGGTGTATGTTGTTGGGACTGGCTTTACACATGTAAGAAATATCAGTGCTATATTATAATCAATGCCACCCTTATTAGAGAAATAAAATGGCTATCCATTAGAGTTCTGCATTCACCACAGTATCTTGCACCATGGCATTAATTTTCAGTGCCATGTGTGGGAGTGTTGGTTAACCAGCCCCATTATATGTGTAGAGAAATTCTACAAATTAATGAATAGACTTAATAAAATGATAACAATCCTGTAATAATGAAAATATATAAACAATGTCAAACAGCAAAATAATAACAAGTAATACACTCATTCTAAATAGTTGTGAAGCAACCAATCATGTGAACAACACACAAATTACATTCTTGTAGGCTACAGAAAGGGCGGAGCCTTTAGACAGACAGCAGTCATTTTCAATTTTTGACTAACACAGTTAGAAAACGGTTATACAGGACTACGGGTGGGAATGGGACAAAATGTTTGCTGGGGGGTTGCTGGGGGAAGTGGGACAAATAGTGCCGGTTTTCTACGGGAGTGGGCATGACCTTTGTTGCTACACAGCATTTCAAAATTAAGCTCTAGATTTCTGTGTTATAATTATGTCATTCAGAATGCTTGCCACCCTTGTAGTATTCAAGCTTCAACTCACACATAGCTTGATGGCATGTACGTTTCAATGAGTATCGGTATTGAGACTATATCAGCGGAAAAGGCTGGATCAGGTATCGCAGGGAAAAAATAGAAATAAATTCGATCCATTCCTGTCACAAATCCAGCCTCATTGTGTGATGTGATGCTGTTAGCTGTGTATTTCTTCCTGTGGCATAGTAGAGCGTTTTTTGGAGCCAGAAGAAAGCCTCCATGAAGCAAGACGACTTCTTTTCTGCTAGGAATTTTCGGGACGGACTCACTGTATTCAGGAATGATGCAGTTTGCTGGACAAATTGGGAATATATCCGTCATATCTTTGTGCTAACGTTGTGCAATATCACAATATGACTCACAAGACTGCTGCCAATTTAAAGTCAAATGTATCCCAGCATCTTAAGTTTCCCAGCATCTTAAGATTCACCATAAAAATGTGATTCTCGTTCTCCTCTTGCACTCCTGAAGGCAGTTAAACTGGAGCAACGTGACTCGAAAAACAATCCAGAGAACATTTATCACCACACAATTCTGAGCTTTATCCGGCGCATAATGTGCAAATGTTTTTATTGACTGTCAGATCTGTATAAACATGCGCTTCCACTTGTAAATAAAGTTTATGCAGACAACATTTACTTCCTGCAATACAACCATGATTGCCTTTTTTTAACAGTTAATGCTGATAAAGATGTTTAAACTGTAGAAAGTAGAACAGGACAGACACTGATTTGAAGTCTGTTTGAGGTTTGAATTTATGTAAAATATTGCTTTTGCTCATCAAACAAAAGTTTCATTCAAAGTATTGCTTATTTATAAGTTTAGTAAATAGAAGCATGATGATTTTGCCAACTGGGAGGGTGGTGCCCAGTGACAAACTGTGACTATAAGAACTAGCCCTTCAATTTGGGCCATAAATGTCAAAACATGGTCAAAAAATTAGGAAAAACAATTATAAAATATAACTTCAATTATAAAACCCCTTTTGGGATCACCACTAAAACTGGTCTTTGTTCTAGTTAAACATGAATTATATCTGCCGAAACATTTAATCTTTCAAAATGAGTTCTCTCAAATGGATTTAACATTGGTGCTAGGTAACATTAGCCATGTTTATTAAACCTGGTGCCTGAAGCTTGTCATTGGAGAAAATGTAGCCAGTAGTTTTGCCAAATAATGCCGCCTGACTGACCAAGTGCATTTTCCCCAGTGCTTTGAGCCGGTGCTGACTGGCTAAGGGCAGTGCACTGAATCTGAAAAAAGTGGGAAATCCATAGGCTGGAGAACAACCACAGCTTCTAGCTGTTGTAAATATGATTTTTAAAGCAACAGTAACTTTTTTGACCCTCCAGCTACTTTCACAGACACAGTCCAAACAAAAACGTACATATTTAGTAGGAAAATACATATTTTATATAGTTATGCATTTCAATATGGTTATTTCTTTGTTGCTCATGGTGACCAGAAGGGAGGCGCCCCAGAGTCCATAATGGATGAAACGCCACTGGTAAAAAACACTTATTTCTTACCGTTTTGTGTAAGTGTGATGGCCATGTAGCGCTGGTCATTGGACTGGGCAGTCAACAGCAAAGCCGGGGCGTGCCTGGTCAGAAACCCAAATGCCACATTTTCTCGAGATTTGACAGCCTCAGAGTACGTGCCGCTCTGCAACTGTTTGGCATCCTGGTTCCGCATGACAGAGAATGGCTCCTGAAGGGCGTACATCAGAGACGTTCCTCTCTCAAAGGATGCCGAGATAGCTAAAACAGACAGACAGACAGACAGAGAAAGAAAGACCAGGCGATCCCATGAAACACAAACAAAATCTCCATGAAACAGAGCTTTTACATTAGAGAGACTATTATCATCTAACCAAATGCAGAGTGCGAGTGCAGGCATCAGTGAATCAACAACTCAGCCTCATCAATTTCAATCAGATGCATGGGACAAAAACACAGCATTAGCATCTTTTCTTCCTCATTACAGATTTTCCATCTAATTAGGGAATCAGCGGATGGAAGCTTGTTGCTGTGATGTGAATTATTAACTCCTTTTCACGTCTCTTTCTCGTTCACAGGCTGTCCAACACAGTTGTCTGTAAACAGTCACGGCGTAATCTGACCCTTCCTGTAATCGTGCAGATACAGAGCCATTACATCAGTAATCTGATTGACGGCTGTTGGGTGGGTCTGAAGGAGAAGCACGGAGGGTGTAATTAGATTCTCCTTGGCAGGTGAAGCTTCTCTTCCATGGCCTGCCAACTCCACATCAAAGGAATGGAGGAGAGCTGAGAGAAGCAAGGACGCGCTATCATCCCAACACAGCCTTCCTTCTGACCTTATACAACACAGCTCTGAACACTTGAGATGATGGTTGAAAGTTCTTAGATCAAAGAGGACAGTTTCAGCTGTCCTTTTAGATTTCAAAAATGACAGGAATTTCACATTTATAACACATTATAACGCAGAGGCCGGCAACATGTGGGTCCTTTTACTGCCCTGTTGTGGCTCCACAGCAGAATTAGATTTTTAAGTAAAAATAAAATAATCCTCCCTTGCAGTAAAATAAAGCTCTGCTTATCGTTCAACACAGCTTTAACAATAAATGGTCTTAAATGCTGGAGTTAATGTAGCCTATAACTGCTAATTCACCAACCTTTAACCCTGAAGATTGCTGCGCAGATTGCTGGTCACCATAGCAACAACAACAATCTTGCCTAGCCAGTAGCTAACAAAACGGCAAAGAGAAAGATTTAAGATGAACACTGATAATTTAGAGATGAATGGAATTATTTGCGTTCATAAGCACTCCAGCTTGTTTCCCGATATGTTTAATCTGAAACAAGAAACTGTCAAATACTAAACAGTTGTGAAGCTGAAATCAGCCTCTTCTTGTTCAAATTTTCCCATTCCACCTTAAATGGTGCTGCAGTTACATTCTGGCACCTCAGGCACAATTTAAAGTGGAATGGAAAAATTAGAACAAGAAGCTGGTGAATGAAAAGATGACTTCAACCTCGTAAAAAATCTAACGTTGACAGACCTTTTACAAGAAACTATTCTGCTTTTGTGGAAAATTCTCCTGCCAGAGATGCGAGAAAAGCAGCTGCAGCTGAGCTAAAGCTTGAGGCAGAGCAAAGTTAAGTCTGCGTTTTTGTTTATTTTTTTGTCTACACTAGGACATTAGCGAGCACATATTAAGGCACATTTTCAGCCGAGATGGTAAAATCTTACTTCAATAAAATAGACATGAAATGTTGTGGCTCCCAAGGTGGTTTGATTTTTACTGAAATTATAAAATGGCTCTTCTTAACATTTGGGTTGACGACCCCATCTTAGAGTGAATGATAATGTAGTCACATACAGCACATGCAAGTCTGACTTTCTATGGAAGCACAACGGTACCTTCAACCACCGGAAAAGGAAACATGCTGGTCTGGACTCTGAAGCAGCAAATGGAATCTTCTACCCCATGCTGGTGTTCTGCATCTTCATTATTATATCACTTATTTTCATTTATTGCTGTAGCTCACTGTAGCTCAAAATAATGGGAACGGCTTCTGGTCTTGCTTTTTCACATGGTGGTAATTTTATCAAAATATTCATTTTTTGTTGCATGTAAACAAGTGAGATTTCCCTTTTTATACACATGTAATTTCACAGTGTAGCATTCTGAAATGGGTTTCTACATGTTGTCTATGATCTTTTATGTTCTATAATCACATGATCAGGGGTTAAACTACACTCTTGGAATGGTTCTTCAAGGGTTCTTTAGTAAAGAAAACACTCAAAAATGCCTTTGCATGATTAAAGGGTTCTTTGCATCATGAAAGGGTTCTTCAAATTCAAATTTATATAGAATTTATAAAATGGTTCTACACAGCACCAAAAAGGGTTCTTCTATTGTTATAATGTCAAGCTTGTAACAATGGAAGAACCTTTTTTGATGCTATATAACACTTTATCCATCAATCTAATGAATACTTTCATGATGCAAAGAACCCTTTTCTCATGCAAAGGGTTCTTTGAGTGTTTATGTTTCTATACAGAACCATTTTCTTTACTAAAGAACCCTTGCAGAGCTCTTTTTTAGCGTGTAGGCTTGAGTGCACCTTTTGTTTGAGTAAACAGCAAATAGCACTGAGCTCAGGTGCTCTAACTTGATGAAAGTGTAAATCATTTTCAGCACCGTCTTCATGAGATTCACTTCATTATCAGATGTGATAACTGCACTGACAGAAAAATCTTGAGTTTTTTGATAAATACCCCCATTTCATCTGTCTTTTGTCGCTGCATGTGGTGGCACACTTGCCCTCCTCATATCGTTCTACCAAATTTGACAAGTATGTATTAAATTCTTCTTGCTGTTTCATGATGTTTGAACTTAAACTAAAATACGGCAACTAGATACCTAACTAAATAAATCATGCTCCAACCTTTAAGTTCGATCATTTGCTGTTGTTTATCCTGTTAAATCCAAAATAACTCCAAAGCATGTTGTTGCAAAGGTCATGATGGAGGAAACTAAAGAGCTAAATCAAACGTCTGTTCATACAGTAGGCCTGTTTCGTGTAAAAGGGTTCTTTCTACATTTTACAGCCATTCATGACTATTTAGCCTATGGTTTTGCCAACTAACTGTTGTTGAATGTTCTCAAAGACACAGATTTGCACCTAGATAGGCAGCTAATAGTATTTGTAGAGTTAAATTGCTTAGTTATGAAGGGTTCCTGCTGTCAGATGGGTGGCATCACTGTTTGCAACAATTCAATAGTAAGACTTTACCAAAACAAACAAGAAATACCAAAACACTGTTAAGACTATAAAACAGAAACAGAAAGTTTTAGTCTAATTGTTCATGAAATCTGTGCTGACAACTGCATAGAAATGTGCCCATGTTGGAGACATCCATTCTCTAAAGTCCCAATTAACCCCTGCATGTCATCATATAACACTCATAGTTGTTGAGAAGAGTGGGACACGTACAGTTTTTGATTTGAACAATATAGATTAATATTTTTATACCAGTAACTTACATATCTCTGCTACAAATAAAGAAGTTTCCAATATCTATCACCATCGAACAATTGATCTGAAAGTGGCTGGAGTGCAAACAGCCAGCTTACCCCATTGGCAGGGTCAGTTGTAACGTATGGAGGAGCTAGTTGTAACAATTGATAGTTTGAAAAGTCTGATAAATATTGCAAAACACCATTATTTTAATGTCATTTAAACCAAATGAACTTTCCGATTTAAATGCATAAAATTAAGATCACCAGGCACAATGTATCACATGCAAGATTTCCTTTCTAATCCTTCGGCAGTTTGCCTTAATAACAGCATCAATCATGTCAGGTAAGGATTGCACCAGTCTCTTGCAATGTGTTGCATTTACAAGTTATTTATGGTGTGTTTGGTGAATGTGCATTAAAAAACTCATTTTTGAAAAAAAAAAAACATTTTGAATGTTTGCAATTTATATGGGTGGGATTTAGACTTCTCTCAGTGTTTACTGTAGAAGGCTTAGTTGTAACCCTGCGTTAAAACCCTGCCATGTGGAGGCTGTTCTTTAGCTTGTTTGGTCTTGCTTGAGATGTTTACATGCTTCAAAATGTTATTATGATACAGGAGTGACTTCTACTCACAACTCAGCAACTGAAAATCACTTATGATGAAAACATGTATAAAACATAAAAACAGTCTTCAGTGTGAATCATGAGCAATATCTGTCTCATTGCTGTCAACATTCGCAGATGATCTAACTGGGGAGATACAAGAACAAGCACGTTGTACTTGAACTGTTTACATTCTGAGCTGCCAAGTTGCTACTTATTGCATATGGGCATGTACGCTTTCAAGCCTCTGTCAACAAAATGCATATATATATATGTGTGTGTATATATATATATAAATTTATTTTTTTCCATTGTTGTGTGATACTATTGGGAATAGAAACGACTATTGCTTCGCTATTCGCTGCCATGTCACTTGCTGCTTGACGCTAAATGTACAAATTGTGTACCCCTATAAGAATTGACTGGACGCCAGTTGCTTTGTCGCCTGCTACTGTGAACATACGGTTAGTCTGGGCCTTTCCCTTACTCAAGATCACAGCTGAAAAATGTGACCACATGTATCCTTGTGAACAAATGTGGAAAACACATTATCAAAGTCGTTTCTCATACGCTAAAAAAAAGTAATACAGGGAAATTACTGAGTTCAAATGTGTACAACATTTCCACATGAATAAAATAAACAGTTGTAAGCAAAAGTTTGAACACCCCAATCAAATTCAATGTTTTGTTAAATTTCTAAGTGAAAATAAGTTCACATCTTCTATAGGGGACAAACGTAAACATTTTAAAAAGTAAAGAAGTTTTTATCTGTCTGTAGTAGCACAGGCTGAAGCCCAGCTGCTCACTGGCTGTATGTTTCTGTGATAGAATCCATGACTGTAGGCCTCTCATTGAAATACAGCTTTTAAATGCCTCTTAAAATGGTACTTCCAGCACCAGCAGGCTGCACTGGACAGTGATCACGGGACAACTATAGATAAATCAATGAGCAATAGCAAAAGCAATAGTGTCCACTGAAAAAGAATCCCCAAGCTGCACATGAACATGAGTTAAAGGCTACAATTGTAGAAGATTTGGAACTGTTGACTGATACACACTGGCCAGCCGCTTAATTAAGTTCACCGACCTTGTTTCTACACTCACTGTCCATTTTATTACCCCTCCCTTTTCCCTGTTCTTCAGGACCACCACGGGACAACCACAGGGCAGGTAAAATATACTGACATGGTGGTGGCATGTTAGTTAGTGTTGTGCGGCTGTGACTACAGTCTGTAACTGTAGAACTACAAAGTAGACCTCTATGGTAGATGGAGCTGATAAAATGGACAAGGAGTGTAGAAACAAGGAGGCGTACTTAATGAAGTGGCTGGTCGGTGTATATACTGTATTATATGGGTTGGAACATGCAGCCACTGTTGCTCTCACTGGACATCAGAGATGAAAATTAGAAACTGTTCACTCTATGGAAATCATGTGATTTTCATGTTCAGGTTCATGTGAACCCTGCGTTCACACAATGTAAACAACGTTATTGAATTACTGAAAGTAATAAATACATTCTGATAAAGCTTATTTTATGAACTCCTATAACCAATTGCACTGCTTTTTAAAAGAAAAAAAATCTTTCTTCAGGGTCAAATTTGAGCAAATAAGATCAACATGATTACATATGACCAGGTATAAAAATAATGTGAGTAATTTATGCAATTAATTTATGGATACAAAATAAATATAATGAATATAATGTACAGCTACACGAGAGTATCACAAAATATATGGTAAGAGTTCACTACAATCCTAACAGTACTGTCATATGCAAAAAATCTGGGCACGCTGGTTAAATTACGTTTTGTTGTTTACGTTCTCTGCAGAGAACATATTTCTGCTCATTTTAATGCACAATTACTCTATTGAAATCTATTTATTTGCTGAATTTAACATATTGTGGGAAAAAAAAAACATAAAATGTGGCTTGTGAAAAAGTTGTCCCAGGCTTATAACATACTAAGGCTTATTATTCAGTAACTACAGGGACTTCAATGCAAACTAGCTGAGCTATTCTTAGGTTATAGAAGTGTGTAATAAAACTTTAGGTCTGGTGGCTGGTGGGCCCTGGCCATTTAAAGGGTTAAAATCAGAAGATAAAAATGAACCGTGAACCAAAATTTGCAGACAAAATGCCTTATTTAGGGTTTAAAAGTTCCCTTTTTCAACTAAACATATAAGCTCATCAGGGGTGTTCAAACTTTTCCATACAACTGTAAGGTACATCTACAGGGTATTTACAACAATACAGATCAGGTGCAATTGTGCAAGTGTTCTACTGGACTAGATAAATGGATGCTGCATGTTTTGCCTGGTGCCTACTGTGATGCCGTTCATGTGCATTTTATTTATTCCCCAAACAGCATTGACCAAACTTATTCATGCAAACTTATAAACACCAAATCCAGCAGAAGCAAATCCGAAACCAGTTATGAAACGCTTTTGAGGAGGGTTCTCACCTGTTTTGCACTTGGGGCCGTCAAAGGCTGTATGCGTGCAGTCACACACATAGCTGTTCCTGTTCTCCACACATCTTCCTCCGTTATGGCAGAGGCTGTCACTGCTGCAGTGACCCGGGCAACCCGAATTCATGCCGGGGGTCATCTTAGCCCGCTCGTTAAGGTCAAAGGTCATTCCGTTTATGCTGAGAGCACGCAGGCAACCGAGGAAACCCCTTCTGAGTTGTAGGTGCTCCTCCTGAGGGATGAGAGTGAAAATAGCTTTCCTCAATGGCAATTTAAACTTCATTAAAGCAAACAGAACATGAGAGGGAGTGTGTGTTCTTGATAATAGAAGGCCTAGAGTTGAGTTGCTTTTGTAAAACAGTTCAGCAAAGGAAAGGACAAATGAGCAAAAAAGAAAAGAGTGTAGTTTTAGTACTTGTTTTTAATATTGGCAATTTTCTCTGCCTAAAAAAGTAATTACAGCAGATTTAGCAAATATTATGTTGCTTTGCAATCAGTGGTCAGCAGAGTGACATCTAGCTGTAGTCCTGCAGGCCTGGCTGGACAAGGCCTTAGCTTGGGCAGAAGAAGCCTTAGCTTAGGCCAAAGTTAGTCAGCTGCCTTGTAAGCTACCTATAAGCTGACTAGTTAGTGACAATCTACCAACACTTAGTGCCTCTGGGGGTGGCGAGTTTAACAGGTTATTTACTAAGCGAATTCATGTAAGTGAACACAGCACATATGACCAGCGCAATATAATCATGTTTAGCTTAGTGCCTCATGTATGAAAGCCTCTTTCCACCGCATAGGAGAAAAATGTTTTTAATCCTTTTGTATTTCAGGTTCAAACTTAACAATTACTTATTTGGACTTAGTAAGTCAGAATAATGACTAAGTCAAAAAAAAAAGCAAGACGGTGTGTGATTATTTTAAGATCATGAGTAGTTATTTTGAAAAAAAAAAAACGATTTGTCAGAGTGCAGTAATTTGTGACAAATTAACTAAAGCATAAATCGCAAAACCAAAGAGAATCAATAAGTGCGTTTAACAATCATTTAGAAAAAGAAAATCATTGATCAAAAGAGAATCATTTTTTGGTGGTTGGTATGGTGTAGTGGGTAACACCTCTACCTTCTGTGTAGTAGACTAGGTTCAATTCCCCACTTGGGCAAGTACACTACACTATACCAATAAGAGTCCTTGGGCAAGACTCCTAACCCTACCCTCACCTATCTGTGCAATGTGATCAAATTGTAAGTTGCTCTGGTTAAGCCCAATCTGCCAAATGCCACAAATGTAAATGTAAACTATTTAGGCAAACCTGCTCTGTGATAGTGTTGTAAAACCCAAATAGTAGGAGAAAGCAGTTAAAAACAGTTTTCTAAACAGTTCTAAAACTATTTTGTTTGTTTATTTCCTTTATCAAATTAAAAATAATGTGGAATGCATGGTAGGTGTTTATACGTGGTTTTTTTTGTGTAAAAATAGATAATTTTTTTCTGTCTCTGAGCACAAACAGTGAAAATTAGACAAGCTTTTCCCAGGTATTAAATAATGCACAGTCAGTATTTATCAGTTTACCAGTCTTACCGGTGCTTCATCTTAATAATCTCCCTTCCAATATTTTGTGCTTTGAGAGGAAAATGCCTACAAATGTATATGTAATAAGGCACAAGCACAAGACAGCAGTAGCTACCCTTTTGGTCTTATTATAGGCGCTGAAGCGCCAGTATGCCTGTTTAGTAAATCATGACAGCCACCAAAATGGAGTTTGTGACAGCACAAAACAAAATCTTCCCCTACATATTCAAAAGTTTGCAGACAGCTGCTTCTCCAGTGTTTGAAATCAAGCAAATTAATAGGGGAGCCCCCCCCCCTTGCTGTAGTAACAGCCTCTACTCTTCTGGGAGTACTAGATGTTGGAACATTGAGAATTTGACTGCATTCAGTTACAAGAGCATTATCGAGAGAGCATTAAGGATGATCAGTTCTGAATCACAAACACGACTCCAACTCATCCCAAAGGTATTGGATGGAGCTCCTTCACTGTTGATACACTGTTGGAACACAATTCCACTGATTTACAGCCCAATGCTGGGGGGCTTATACCTCTCTAGGCTTTATATCTTAATGCTTGGCACAGGGCACGGTGACCATAGGCTGATGTGCAGCTGCTCCAGAGTGATCTGTTCTATTAGCAGTGTTTTTCTATTGAGATTATACCAGCTGTATGTGCACAGTTTGGTGCACTTTATAGTAGATGAATGAACTAATTACAAAGGGTGTCTACATACTTTTGGATACATAGTGGGGTTGGCTTACATTTGTCTAAGCTGAGGTTTCTCCCTCCCAAGCTGAGGCTTTGAGCAGTTGTAGGTGTAATTATACATGTATTTTATTGTACACACTCTACTGCGGTGTGTTTTACAACTACTTGTAACATGTTGCATATGCTTCTTTATGTATGTAAAAGCCACTTGCCTTAATTTCAGCTAAGCTTTATTATCAGCTGAATAAAAAAACTTGAAAAAATAAGTAAGAAAGATGAGAAGGATGGAAACGTTTTGTGGAATGAAATATGCAGATTGTGGTCAGACAGCTCATTTTAAATCTGATTGTTTTTCCAAATGCGCAGACCAACAAAATGCAATTACATTGTATGTCAATCACACAAAGCCTACAGATACAAAATGAACATGTAATCAGGAACTCCCAGCTGTCATTCAGACTGTATGGAAATCTCAGGCACTATAGCCAGCGATGAATAATTCATTCTGATTACATAATTGCTCAGAAAGGCACTGCCCAGGCTGTCAGTGAATAGCATTTGGCTCAATCGCGTATCACAGAACAAAGGCACTTCAAATACACACTTGATAAAATTTAGTCCATTGCAACTCAAGTGACTGCAGTAATCAAGTCATTCTTCAAAGAGATGAAATCTAATTCGAGACTGGAGGACTAATTACAGCTTAATGGAGCAGTAATTTAGAGGTGTACGTCTTGCTATTAACCAATCCCCTGAACAGTTAATAAGCGAGGATCTTTATCAGTTTGACCCTGTTTACATCTGAGGCTAGTCAAGGGAACACTAGAAAAGCCAAGCTTATTACTTTCACTATAGGTACTATATATTTTCTAGATGATCTAAAGTTTGTTGTTGTTTTTTTATTTGTATTCAGGAGCTGATGAGGTTTTGAAATGCCTCAAATTTCAAGCGAAGTAATAACACCTAGATCCACAGAACTGATGTGGATTAATAGTTTTTTTTAAAGAAACACAGCCACATGGGGATCAACTGAAAAACTCAATAGGGATTTACATGTGCCTGATAAAGGGCTCCTTATTGCACAGCTATTTTTTGTAAAAGCCACAACATGGACTATGCAGGAGACAATGCTGTTTGAACCATAACCTATATATAAACACATCAAGTATGCCTTATTCAGAAGTCAGCAAACATAAAACAAAGAAAGTGATGAATCCCTGAGTCACTCAAATGAACTCACGTACCTTTGAAAGGACAGGCTCAAATTTATCCTTTAAAAGAGCCCATATCCTACACTTTTCTTTGTTTCATTTTCTCCCTCAAAGCCTACGTATGATGTTTGTCAGTTTATGTACTAAAAACAGTCATAATATACTTTAACATGACCATTTTCCAATTTCTTTTTATATCCTAGAATTAAACAGGCTGTTACTTTAAGACTGATATATGTAAATGAGCTCTGCTCTGACTGGCCCTATGCCTCATTCAAAAAGCAGCACAGGCTGAAACACTTCTTATAACTTCAGCGTAAATGGGTGGACTTAAACTGTGTATATGCAAAAGTTTGATCAAATTAGTTGATTTAAAAAGTAAAAAGTAAAAATCTCCAAACTTCTACACTTTTAAATGCACATTTACTGTTTTTTGCTGAAGTTAATATATTGGAAAAATGTGGTCTGTGCAAAATTTACGGTTTTATATTTTATGCCTTATTTTCTTTTCCAGTAAGTTAAACTCAAATAAATTGAAACTGAGCATTGAAATTTGCAGTAAAATGCCATTTTTTAGGTTTGTTCCTTGTATAGGATGTGTTAATTTATTTTGTCTTAGAAAATCAACAAAACATGCAATTTGTCAAGAGGTGTTCACACTTTTGCATATGACTGTATATAAACGAACTGGTTCTGGTGACATTGCAAAAACAATGAAGTTAAAATGTGCCTGTTTTGCAGTTTAAGACTGAGAGTGGGAAAAGCCAGTTTATATATCCACTGTGGTTTATGAGAAGTCTCAATGTGAGTGCAAATTCGTATCTAGCTACATAATACCACTTGCCACATAACTGTATTTGAGAGACGGATTATCTGAGTATCCTGGCAGTCTTAAAGATTTGGTGGGATCGATGACAGCCTATCATGTACTACTGCATTCAATGAGTTTTACAGTGAGCAGTGACATTCTCTCACTCTGTAAACTTGTCCAAAGCATGTGTACCACTCAGTTCTCTCTCTCTCTCTCTCTCTCTCTCTATATATATATATATATATATATATATATATATATATATATATATATACACACACACACACACACACACATATATATATGTATATATATACATACATAGGTGTAAGTAACGAATTACATCTACTCTGGTTACTGTAATTGAGTACAGTGTAACGGTACTTTTTGGAGTAGAATTAAATCATAGTACTTTTATATGAGTTAATTTTTAATGAAATACTTCTACTTTGCTACTTTCATTTTCATAACGTTACAGAGTAAAAATAAAGTTATGAGCGTATCAGCTTATCACCCAATAATAATAAAGCGCGGTTAAATTTAAATGATTCACCAATCAAAGAAACAGCAGCTCTGGCAGGAAAAACACTACAGAGATGTCCAGTTTAGTCGAGAAGGAAAGAGGAGACCTGAACCAGCACACACGAGGAACAGACCGCGTCCAAACGGTCATTTGTGTTCATTTTCACACATACTAAAGAAAACAGCTTTATTATCAGCGGCCAAACACGAAACCTGCTGAGATCCGCTCTCACAACTCGACTCCAGCCTGAGGGAGCGTTAGCCAAGCTAGCTGATCTGAGCTATACAGGTACTGTGTTTACGGGTTTCTTCTTTCTTTTATAATGTTTCTGTTTATTGAACTTTTTGTTGCGTATATTTTATTACAGTGTCTATGAGCTACTTTAGTTAACAGGTGTCGCCCACAGCCTGCTGTTTACCCGTTTAAAATACAGCCTAGTTTAGCTGCTGTTTGGAGATAAACGATCGTTTACGGCTGTGAGACAAGAAATCTAGTCTAATACAGGCTCTTCATAAACTCTGGACAGTGATTCTGTCGCGCTGCCGTTGACTGGCCTGATCTGATCCTCTATTACTGCATTTAACAGTTAGAATGTCTGATTCTGTATGAAGTGATCAGCATGATTACTGGTGAAATATATTACAGTAAAAATCAAAGCTGGGTAAGTTGCTGCTGATTTTAATGGTGTAAATGTTCTGAACAGATATCAGTGAAAATATACAGTTTGAAGGCTGTGAACGTGTTTACTGTCTGTAGAGGTTCACACCTGTTAACGTAAGCTAGTGTCCATCTTAAGTAACTAAGTAAAAAAGTAACTAAGTAACTCGGTACTTAAGTAGTTTTTCAACAAACTACTTATTTACTCTTACTTGAGTAATTTTATTTACTAATACTTTTACTTGTACTTGTAAATTATCACTACAGTAATAGTACTTGTACTTGAGTAGGGACTTTCAGTACTCTTCACACCCCTGTACATATAAAGTTCAGATCAGCAAATAAACAGTAATTGTGCATTAACATGTGCAGAAGTGTGTTTTCTAGAGAACGTGTTCATTTATTTTCACAAAGAAATTCAACAAAACATATTATTTTAACATTGGTGCCCAAACTTTTGCATGGCCATACACTGCACAGGTACAAGTGGCTAGCTACAATGTGTGTCTGTGTGGTAGTCAAGGGGTTCTGTCCAAAACAATAAGCACTTTCAGTTTGTGAGACTGTTCAAAGTGTAAGACTGCCAACCAACATGTCTAACAAGCCACAAATTCATCTGATTGTCCCACAGCTTAATTGGAGCTCGTCTGGGCAGCTTGTGCTACCCTCTAATACTACTCATCAAACAACAGCTGATGAAGCTGAAATTCTCCCTGATTCTGGAGATTAATTGGCATTGGCCAAATCAGGTTTTAAAACAGGCTTGAATCATGCAGTGCATGCCTGGATTTAGGCAGATCAACTTGGGAGAAGAAAGTGGAAAAATAACGCAGTGTGCAACTTGAGACAGTGCTTGAAAATGAAAATATTCTGCGTGTTTTTCAGCAAAATAGAAAGTACCTCTTCCACCATGATTCCAAGCCCACAGACTACAAACAAAGTTCATGTATTAACCCTAAGAAGTCTGTTACCCTAATATTACCACTGAGCACACTCAATTCACATTCTGTATAGACAGGTTTGACTTTTTTCATTGCCACAAAACACACAGAAATAACTTTTCACATGATAAAATCTCCTCTTCTATTTATGTACATATTGAAAGTGTAGCACACATTCTTTGAACAGAATAGCTCGGCATGTTTCAAAGAGCTCTAAGTAAGAAATAGTTAAAACCACATTACATCATGGTTTTGTTCTTATAATGGTTAACCTCTTAAAATCCTAGGCTTATTACATACTAAGGCTAATTATTCAGTATCTACAGGGACTTCAATGCAAAATGGTTTAACTATTCTTAGGTTAGAGAATTGTATAATAATACTTTGGGCCTTGGCCATTTAAGGGGTTAAAGCATGTCCCTCTGCTGTATTTTTGAATAAGGGCTTGATCTCTTACCTACAAACAGCTGGCTGTTGAGCTGGAGTCTGTACTGTCCTTCAGGTGCTGCCTCTACCAGCTGGAGGGGCAGCAGATCAACCTGCAGTGAGGCCTCCTTAACGTTTCTCTCTGCTCGCACATGATGCCACTGCCGGTCATTCAGAGGCATAGGTGACTTGACCGTCAAAACCACTGGGCCGTCCCCGAGGTCAAAGGTGAAGGTGACTGCGGAAGGAGCTGGGGAGGGTAAAGCACGTGAGTGCTAATGTGTCTCACTCGTTTCTCATTGTCACTTAATTGGCTTGTGAAAAGCTATTTAGCTTTTAAATAGCGCTATACATTTATACTTCTTTATTTATTTCAAGCATAAAATTTAAACTGTGCCACAATTTTTCATTATATTACATTCAGCAAAAAAACAGTCATTGTGCATTACAAGAGGATGCATACTTATTTTCACTCCAACAGAATCAGCAAAACATTGGACCAGTGCCACCATAACTTTTGCTTACAAGTGTATATATACAAAAAAAGTATGTGAACCCTTTAGAACTAACTGGTTTTCTGTTTTAATTGGTAATAAAATGTGATCTGTTCTTTATCTAAGTCACATGTGTGGACAAACACAACGTGCTAAAGCTAATAACACATAAAAACACTTTAACCTTTCATGTCTTTATTGTGCACATCAACTAAACATCCACAGAGCCAGTGGAAAAAGTAAGTGAATGCTTGGATTTAATAACTGGTCAAACCTCTTTTGGCAGCAATAACCTCAAGTGAGTGCTTCTGGTAGCTGCTGCTCAGACATGCACAATGTTCAAGAGGTATATTGGAGCATTTCTCCTTGTAGAACCGCTTCAGATCAGCCATATTCTTCGGATGTCTGTGGTGAACGGCTCTCTTGAGATCATTCCACAGCGTCTCTAAGGGGTAAAGGTCTGGGCTCTGACTAGGCCACTCCAAAAGGCAGATTTTAATTTTTTGGAGCAATTCTGTAGTTGACTTACTTCGATGTTTAGGGTCACTGTCCTGCTGCATCACCCAGCTTCTACTGAGCTACAGCTGGCGTACAGCCACCCTGACATGATCCTATAGGATACCTTGATAAACTTGGGAATTTATTTTTCTGCTGATGACAGAAAACAGGTCAAGTCCAGAGGCGGCAAAACAGTCCCAATGGCATTGTGCTCATTCCACCATACTTCATTGATGGAATGATGTTATCATGTTGGTATGCAGTGTCCTTTATGCATCATATTTAGTGCTGCATGTCCTCTACAAACAACTCAACCTTAGTTTCATCAGTCCACAAAACATTTTTCCAGTATAACTTTGGAGTGTCAAGATGCTCTTGGGCAAACATCAGGCGAGCAGCGATGTTAACCAGTTCCAGTGATTCTTTCAAGCTTTTTAAAAGGGTTCCTTTTTACTTCATTCAGCATTCGGCATCATGCTTTTGGAGTGATCTTAGTTGGGCACTTACTTCTAGGAAGAGTAGACACTGTACCAAATCATCTGAATTTATAGACCATTTATTTAACTGTAGACTGATGAATATCTATACTCATTGGGGTTACTTTGTAACCCTTTCCAGCTTTATGCAAATAAACAATTATTTAACAAATAATTGTAGGTATTTTGAGATCTCTACTTTGGGAGGTTTGTTTAGTATCAGATGCTTCTTGTGAATTGCGAATTCATGTTTGAGTAGTTTATATAAGTCAAAGTAGCTCAAATTTATTAGTTAGTATTAACTGTCGAGTGTATTTCTCTTAATAAAAACTGCACATATTATGGTCTTCCTGACTCTTCTCCTGCATGACACCACATTGGTGTCAGAAGTGGGATATATATATATGTATGTATATATATATATATATATATATATATATATATATATATATATATATATATATATATATATATATTGCAGTTGTCATATGCTGTCATGAGCTGTCAGATGGCAAATTGTGTTCAGTGATATAACAATGTCAGGTTACCATTACTGGCAATTGTGATGAAAGATGTCATAATGTTTGATGTCATGACAGCTAATTAGAGTAAACAGCAAATATTTGTATGTGACATATGCTGTAATGAAACATTATGGTGTGGACTTGCTGCACTGTATTTCACTCACAGCTAAGTTCCAGCCTGATGAAGTCTCGCACCCCCACATTTTCCAGGAAGAGGCCAGAAGGTGCGCTCGTCTTAAAGAAGAAGGAGATATCCATGCTAAGCTCAGCTTGCAACGTGGGAAAGTGCAGGTATGAAGATTCCGCAAAAAAGGAGGCTGAGTTCCAGAAAAATCCTAAGGCAGGAGCAGAGCGAAATGAATCAAGTGAACTCAAAAATCAAATGAAAGAAAAATAACAACAACAACAACAATAATAATAATAATAAACTCCTTTATGAATGTGAAAATGAATTCAGTAGCGAACAGTTTGTCTTTGCCCTGAATTAGTAAACAAAACACCCACGGTCTCCATAGCAACGCAGTGGTCCAATCTGGAAGAGAGCCTGCGAGCCTGTTCTGTTTGTGTCTCCGATGGCGATCTCACTGAGGGGTAAATGGTCTTTGTAAGACAACAGACCGGTATCGTTCACCCTGCAGAGAGAGTAGGAGAGAGTGAGCGAGAGTGTGATTAGTAATGAGTGAAGGAGGAATAAGAAATTTCAGAAATTCCATCTGTGTCTTTTCACTCTCTTAAAAGGGAGAAAAAATCCCTCTGGTGAAAGTTGAACTGCGTGATTCAGCAGCTGCTGAAATGGTGCTAACAGTGGGCATGCGATGACACACTAGCTTGTTAAGCCCCCTCATCCACATATTTATATTCACTTTACTAAGGTGAGTTATTTATATGTGACTAAAAGCTGATGAAGGGCTTTAATACTGTCCTGCTAATATGGTAGTCATCAAGTCATTTGCATACTCAAGTACTCTGTCATTCAATGGCAAACTTGAGTATTGTCTTCTTTCAATAGAAAGCCTATTAATATGCATGTGGAGAAACACAGGGCTTTGTGACAGAATTACCATGCATCCTGGTCTGCGTCACAGTTGCAGAAGTAGTTCATGTCCCTGCAGTTGCCTTCAAGGCTGCAGGAACACTGCTGAACTCCAGGCAGGATACCTCCCCAATATGTCCTCTTCACACCATCCCGGTCCAGCCACCAAGACAGAGGGGTCCCATCTGGAAAAATAGCAGATTTCCATCTATGCTGCAACTGTCCAACCATCCTGAGGTTTTATAGTGGTTACGATTGGTGGCCATATACACACTGATTGGTACACCACCTTGTTGCTACACACATTGGCCATTTTATAAGCTCCACTTACCATATAGGTGCACTTTGTAGTTCTACAATTACAGACTGTAGTCCATCTGTTTCTCAGCATACTTTACCCTTTTTACCCTGTTCTTCAGTGGTCAGGACCTCCACAGGACTGACATGGTGGTGGTGTGTTTGAGTGTGTTGCGCTGGTGCGGGTGAATCAGACACAACAGTGCTGCTGGAGTTTTTAAACACTGTGTCCACTTACTGTCCACTCCTTGAGACACTCCTACCTTGTCAGTCCACCTTGTACATGTGAGAGACAGTAGCTCATCTGTTGTTGCACAGTTTGAGTTAGTCATCCTTTAGTCTTTCATCAGTGGTCACAGGATGCTGCACAAAGGACGCTGCTGGGTAGATATTTTTTGTTGATGGACTATTCTCAGTCCAGCAGTGACACTGAGGTGTTTAAAAACTCCAGCAGCACTGCTGTGTCTGATCCACTCGTACAAGTGCAACACACACTAACACCACCAGAAGGACTACAATCTGTACTTAGAACTACAAAGTGCACCTATTTGGTACGTGAAGCTGATAAAATGGACAATGAGGTGTACTTAATGGAGTGGCCAGTTGGTATATATCATAGCAACACACACACACACACACACACACATATACACACACACACACATATATTATCTAAGGCACTTATCCTCCTGGGTCGCGGTGGGGTGCTGGAGCCTATCCCAGTGCTGACTGGGCAGAAGCAGGTAATCATAGAAATACAGTTTATGTGAAATGATTACTAATGTGAATGTTAACTGTTTTATTCATACTGGATGCAATATATAAGGACTGGTCCTTAGATGTACTGTAAAAGCTAGTAGGGAGCAGAAAAGCTTTTCAAATGGTGGACAGGTGTCATCTGTCATGATTTTTTTCCTTGGCTTATTTATTTGTTTGTTTGTTTTACAAACAATTTTTACTTTGACAGACTTTTGAAAGGCATTGTCTTGGCAGTGACATAGAACAGACACTAATGCATGGAATGTGTGAAAATTATGATCTGTTATAAAAGATGTAACTACAGTATTGTGCAAAAAATATATTTTAAAAATCGACTTATTTGGGCATTTATTAGCTTATAAAACATTAATATTTAAATAAAGACTAATAATATTAATACAGTGCACAGTGATTTTATATTTGTCATTGTGTTTTTTTAAACATTTCCTCTTCTTGAGGAAGTCCAGTGTGAACTGTAGTTATCACCCAATATCTGATTTGCCTAATCAGTGCTTCAGTAAATTACATCAAGTGAGCTGGTGATGGAATGGAACTAATCTATGTGATCTGAGGGATATAAGAAAACCAAACTTTGTTCACCTAACTAGCTCACAACATCTCAACTTGTTTAAAAACAAGAAACATATATGTAAATTTCATGATGAATGAACCAAAAGAATTGGCCCAGAATTACTTGGAAAAAGGACTGATTACAGTGACTTGCATTAAAAGTAAAGTATGTTTTTTTTCCTTCTCCTGTAAAGTTATCATTTTGGACATAGGAGGTTTTGTTCTGACAGCAGCGATATATGGTGTTTTTACAAGCCCAAACACACCTACTGCCCAGATAAATGGTTTTAAACAAACTAGGTGCTTAAGACTTTTGCACAGTACTATATTGATCAACCAATAGGGGACTGTTTAGGGTGGGGCTTCAGTCAGTCACATGATGAAACAGACCAGCAACATGTTCGGATGCATTTTTTTTGACAGATAATAAAATGCTCTTGTGAATGCAGCCTTAGGGGCCGCACACATGACTGCTTTTTTAATCATCTAAAGCATCTCTTTCTTAAAAAGAAGCAGGACATGCTTCTTAAGGGGTGGATTTGAGAGATGCCAACTACCGAGACGATCAATAAAAATTTCAAAACACACATAATATCCTACATTGAGAAAATAGATAACATTTGTATAATGAAATGCAGAAAAAAGCAAGAATTCATTGAATTTAAAAAAATCGCCTTTCCTCCATGTTGAATGAATGAATCTGCTGATCACCCCCCTAGACCACAAAGGCCAGGAACATTGCATAGGTATTAAGGGAACAGCTCTGGTTTACTTCATATGTCAGGAATAGATTGTTTTCAGTTAATGTTGGTGACCATTCTTCTTCATCTACTATAGCCAAATTTGAGCCCATCTCAGGAATGTTCATGAAATAATAATAAAAAAAAATCTTTTAAGGATCTTTTAAGGGTTTTTTTTTCATTAAGGTTAGATTATTGTAACTCATTGTATATTGAAGTGAGCCACATGTCCTTGTCACGTCTGCAGCTGGTGCCAAATTCTACTGCTCGAGTTCTCAGTGGTGTGAAAAGAACGGTGTGCATTGATCTCTCCCTCTAGCTCCCTGTAACTAAAACGTGATAGCTTGAATCAAGACTGTCTCAATAAGATTGAACCAAATCTTAACAATTCACCCCTGTTAATCTATTAATATATGCTGGGTTATGATAGCACTGTGGACTGAGAGCTAATGCAGTTTGTTCATGGACAGAGACAGCTGGTTGTCCCCCCCTAAGGATCCGTAATGGAGGTCTTGAGGTTCTATTCTGCCTAATGGCCATTAGAGTGCAACTGCTCCGGTTGAGTGGGCATCTGCTATCTCTACAGTGCAGAGACGCAGCCAAGAGCCATGTCCCCTGCAAAACGAAATCTGAAATGCAAGATGTCTGCTGCTGGGGGTTCACTATCTGTTTGAGTCCATTTCAAGAAGTGTTTGTGTACAGAATGATCAAAAGGTTGATCTCTTGCTCGAGGACTTCGTAGGGGCTTTCAATTTGGCAGATCAACACTGAACTGAGGCCAGAAAGTGAGCTGTGCACTTGAGGATTAGTTACAGTCTTATTAGTCTCCAGTTAAGAGGCCAAGAACATCAACATAAACACAATAAAACATAGAAAATCAAGGCTGCGCACAGGAGTCAACAACAAAAATGAACAGTGACATTTTGCCATTATGTAACAGGTTAATAGGCCAGATTCTTCCACGTTTGTAAATATGGTGGGATAAATGCTTTTCATGGCAGAAATACTGCTTACTTTGCTAGAATTACAGACAACAAACAAATGGATGCTGTGCTTTCTTTTTGAGATTTTTGCGATCACCAAGATTGTTTTACATTTATCTTTCTAGATGATATACAGTTGGCAGTTTTTAGATCTGCCTCTTTTAGATCTTAGGTACAAGTAACAGGTGCACAACTGTAGCCCATGTGTTGCTTTATCAGCCCCCCTCTACACTATCCATTGATGGAATACGACCACCATAGGACCCCTACTGATCAGATATTAAGCTGCACTACTGCAAGTGAATCATACAGCAATGTTGCTGAGATTTTTTATACACAGGGCCAGATATACTTACAAGCATAGATGTAGCACAAAGTGTAAATGCGACTGCAATATGTGCCCACAATGTGGCTAAACTCAATGTTAGATTCACTAAGACTGTAGTTTATCATTCCCTGCCCAGTAACTGCTTGCTTGGGAGGCAAAGGGCTTAAAAGAGGCAGTGACCAGTTTAATAGTCAGCTTATTAAATGCGGTGGGTTTTTTCCTCAAAAAATTTGACCTTTTTATTACAAGCGCAGGGCATCTTACATAGGTCAACCTCTGATCTGATGCTGCTATTACATTATTAAAGTCAACGGGAATCAGACATCAGAGTGCATATTTCTTCCTTAATGTGAGATATTTTTAAGCGAAGCAGAACACTTGGGTGGGAAATAATTGCGTGTGGGACATGATTTTAGAGGTCACGTCTATCAAAGACTATAGAGAAACAAGAATTTTGTCTTTTTAATGATATGGTACAATGGATTGAGCTTAAAAAGACCAAGGACATTAACTAACAAGATAAAAGGTTAAAAAAAGGTATATTTTGATTTAAATTAGGCCAACCTATTTTTCCCTTACTCATCCAGCACCTCAGCTATCTGCTGCGTTGTTCCTGACCTACAAATCTCTCAATATAAACCTAGCAAAATGACTACAGACACTTTCACCAAATTATAGCTACTTTATACACTGCATGAGCTTCTGTGACCGCAATAAAATGTTTCCACAGGACTGTCTTGTTGTATATCTGTACAGGATATAACGAATGAGTGTCCTTAAGTTAAATGTTAGGTTATAGGCAACTGGCTATATTTTCAGCATTGCTCTCTGAGGTTACTGTCACATCAGTCTAGCTCACATTACTTTAAGTGTATAATGTAATGGGTTACTATTGTAGCGAAGACGACCAATAACGAGGGAGTGAAGCTGCAGCTGAGCCTAAAACGAAGCTCTTCATTAAATAAAATATTACCCTTACAGTTAATTGGGGCAGGAATTATGATGCTGCTGCAGTTGAACATCGCTGATAGACCGTATCATCTGGTGCTAGCTGTGGAGGAAAGCTTCTCTGCAGGCAGCTGCTGCAAAGGATGCAGATGCTGCCTGAATCCTGTGATTCATAACATCATTTGACTGTATCAGTTTACTCTTTCCATCACAAAATCTTATGGCAGTGACTGCGCATGTTAAAAGTACAGCAAGGTTTAAAGATGGTTTGCATCTTTGGCTTTTTTGGGATAAATCGAAGTACCACCCTGGCCCCTTCCCCTTTGGTTAAGCCTCTGAGTGAAATAATGGAGCAGTTAAGAAGCTGCAGACAAAACAGAATTTGAAAGCTCAGAAATGAGAGAGATTAACTCCACCAAAACTTTACGAAGATGTACTGCGCATACATGATGATGCATCAGATCACATTTTGTGCCACATCTTCTCATACATATATATGTATCTGCTCCAGAGACTTTCAACCATTGTGCTATTCTGATTGAAAACATTATTTCGGCACATGTTCAAGGCTCTTGCAACAACACGTCTATCTCAAATTTACACCTGGTTGTAAAAGGTGGAGGAAAATTTATGTAAAACTGGCTGTTGCATGTTGCTCAAATGTTAGTAAATCAGGAGGAGCCACATGAGTTACATCGGCACTCACTTTTTATTGTTCTCCCATATTTTGCACTTTTTTTTTATCCCTCAAATGCATATCATCACTATTCAAAGCAAAACTCCAAAAATATCTCCAAAATAGTTGCTTTACAGGAGAAGCCAAAAACTTTTAACGTAAGGTCATGTTAAAATACTAGCAGCACTAAAAGGTGCTTTAGGGACCCTGTAAAAATAAAAACAATAGACGTTGAGAATAAAGTTGTAATATTTTGAGAATAAATGTAACATTTTGACAACAAATTCGGAATATTTTGATAATAAAGTCATAAAGTTTCAAGAATAAACTGGCTATATTTCAAGGAATAAAGTAGGCTAATTGTAGGGGGGGCTGTCATAACGCGTTGGGGCCTCGGTTGCTGTACTGTCGACGACAAAGATGAAGACGGAGTTCGACTCACTCCTTCAGGATCGATCAATTTCATTATCATTCTCAGTTTCTCCTGTGAAACTACATGGCCTCTTCAAATGGCACAGAAAGCCTTGTAGATGACCACTGCTTGCAAGTTCTCCTTCAACAAAAGAGACAATTTTCATCCAAGTCCGCCTGGTTCTTTACTCTTAACAAACACAGTTTCTTGCACAGCCGTTTCTTATACAAATAACAATCTGGTGCTGATGTGCCAGGAGTATTTCTTCATGGGTGAAACTGATATGAAAGTAACTCTACAACAACATGGCTCATTCTAACAGGAGGAGGTTGCTACCTTCCTTTGCAAACCTTTTGGCCATAATATTGTAAATTTTCCTGGTAATATTGCACTTTAATGTTGTAATTGTATGACTTTATTCTCAAAATATTACGACTTTTTTCTTGAAGTCTAGTATTTATAACTTTTTTCAACAGTGGCCCTAAAATGCCGTCGTAAAAAAGTTTTATTCCAAGTAATTTTTAAATACGTTTATTTCTGCTGGACCACTAACCATGAAATTTACACTCAATGTAAAGGACAGCTTCCATGTTCAAATGGTGTAGAAAAATAAAAAATGGACATTTATTTTTTGTGGACAGTGATGATTTACAGGAGAAAGAGACAAGCATTTTGTGTTTTTTCATGTCCATAAACTATGTTTAAGCTTGAGTACCAGCTGAATGTGTCTGATTTGTGCCTGAAACTTTGTACATCTGGCCCACTGTGTTGGTCATCCTTTAGCACTTCACTGGTGGTCAGTTTCTTAGCACAATCCCCATCAAGTGATTATGGACCCCTGTGTGCTGGATATTTTTGTAAGTGGATGATTCTCTACCTCGCATAGACATTAAGGTGTTTAAACATCCTAGCAATGCTGTTGTGCCTGATAACCTGTTAACACATACCATGTTGGTGTCATTACTGTGCTGAGAATGATCCACCGCCCAAGTAATATCTGGTCAGCAGTGGCCCCTTTCAACTGATGAACAGGGTAGAAACTGTGCAGCAGCAGATGGGCTACAGTCAATAACTGACTTATAAAGTGCATCTATATGGTAGGTGTGGTTGATAAAATGACCAATGAGTGCAGACACAATAAACTGGCAGCTCAATTATCCTTTCGATAAATCTATGTAAAATCTATGATGTGGTCAACTTAAAACAATAAAATTAGTCAAACTCAGTAATAAAAGCAAGATTCACCCCAGGTGTCAAAGAGGCGGGACTTCCTGCAGCGGTAAGTCACTTCTTGTTGACAGTGCTCTGAGGAGGCCACCAGGGAGCGGAGGTGATAGGGCGAAATGGAGTAGTTGAAGATGAGAACATAGGGGCTTCTGGGAGTGGACCCTTGAACCCTAACAGGCTGCAGGTGATCGTGGCCTACAACGGTCCAAATTTTGTCATCTGTGAAGAAAACAACATTGACAAACATAGAAGATGTTAAAAGAAAGAAGCACATGCTGCAATCCCCATCATTTGTGGCACCCTCCTGTTCTCCCCCCTCGAGCCTCTCAAAGCAGCCTTCGATTGCCCAGATGTGTGTATGAATGAGAAAAGGAGATTAGCAGTGTGATGGAGTGAGATGCAAATACCTGATGAATATTAAGTGGGGAACAGAAGGTCATTCATTCAGGGCCTGTGAAATGAAGAGAGTTAGGGAGTCCGCACTTACTCCCTCTCTCTATGCAAATTAAAATCCCCCATGTGTGATGGACGAAAGTGCCTGTTTGCTGAGCCTTGAAGAATTAGCATGGCTAACAGCTCCTGTAATTGGGGTCAGTCTGAAACAATCTTCTTGCCAGAGCTGGTTGGCAAATGCTAAGAGAAAATGTCTTTTTGTATTAGGGTTTGTTAGCATTCACAGCTTAGCACGGCTAGCTGCTAAGCAACCAGAGCTGGTAAAGTAAACGGTGTAAGCAAAGCTAATAGAATAGGCCTTAGCAAAGCAAAACCACCCCACCCACGCTAACTTGCTGAGTGTGTGGTACTGCCAAACAAGCAGCCTTGCTGTGCTTACAGCACTCGTTTCTCTGCTAGCAAACCGCAGTGCTCTTGCAGTCGTGGCAGGCCTCAAGAGAAACAAAGAATAATGGAGCAGTCTCGTCAGGCCAAGCTGCCAGTCTCAGTGGGCCGATACGCTCTCTGATTTTCTCCTTCTTCCACCTACATTCCTCCCTGCTGCTGACATAATGGACCTCTCTTCTCCTGTGAGACGACACACTGTATTACAGGCTCATCCTGGAGACAAATCAGCCCCGTATGTGATGGGAGAGGCTGAGAGGATGTCAAAAGGTAAAAACCAAGACTGGTGAAATCCGTAATGAGTCTTGACAGAGGAGGTTGAAAAGCGTGGCCGTCCCCATACTGCAGGATGCACAGCACGCTTTTCAAAAGAGAGGTCAACTACTGTTTTATCTGGAGAGCAGTTGTTTTTTCACATCCTGTTTCACTATTACTATCAGCCAGCTCTCCATCTGCGCATACAAGTTTAGGTAGATTTGAGCTTCTACCTGAAACAGTTCGCAGCAGTGTTGCGATTCGCAGAACAGATTTATTGGGTTTTGAGATTTTCTGATTAAACCACTTTTATTAGTTAAATCAATTTTTTTTTTATTTCCATTAAATGCCAGCTGTTATTCCCTTTAAAACTCATTATAATGGAAAACTATTACAAATAGATATGCAGCATTTTGGAATGAAACTTTGTATATATGCACATACATACACATGTGTTTTGGCTTCATGGCATATGTATATGTTGAAAGGATGATGATGTGTTATGGTATGTATGAGATCAGTGTGATCTGTATATGTTTCATGTTTGTTGTACCTGAGGACAATGGGAGGAGATTTAGCAATGGTCCAAGGGCAGCTATGTGTCTGAGCCTATATAAACATGGCCTTGTTGTCTGTGAAACGAGCGTGCAAATAAAGTCTATTCTCCAGACACAAGGCTGAACTACTTGCCTCAATTCTTTGATTCATCAAGAGTGTATATATATATATATATACCTTTTTGTTAAAAATAACTCATTCTTTCTAGAGGATGTGTTCACTTATTTTCACATTGAAAATCAACAAAATGTGTAATGTGAATAGTAAAAACTGTACTGAACAAAATATAGATAAACCTATGGCGTCTCTAACACAGTGCTAGATTCACCTCTGAATTTCATTTGCCTTATACGTGCATCCAAAACATTTGCACTTACATCTACAGACATTGCAGACATTGCTGGAGCTTGGTAAACATCACAGTCATTCATGCTATCACCAGATGACAAGCTGCTTGTTGTGAGAACCAGGCCCCAAGCCTGTGGTGATGAGGTACAGGTGGTGTGAGAGGAAACTGAAGCACAGCAATGAGGCTGGTGTCCATGCTGGGCTAAAGGCTAGACCTGCGGTTACCTCCATATACATCAGACAGCAACTGACTACACAGTGCTAGAAGAGTGCTTGCTGAAACATCTCTGATTCAGTCATTTAGATAAACAGGTTAACGTTAGCATGTTTTGTGCTATTTGTATTTGTATCTGTATGTATTTATGACATAAAGGTATAAACGTTATAACACAACTAATACCAAGAAATGGTTCTTTAAGTTGGGGGTGCATCTATGTAACATACACTGTGACATCATACAGAGTGATTCACGTTTTTATTTGAATTTTTATATGTGCTATAATGCAGCTTGTACACACTGATCACTCTGCTCTCTTCTTCTGAATGAACATTATGCAAATGAGCTGAATGGCGACCAATCAGATCGTCGATGAGGTAACTGAATTTTGTTAAAGCTGTGTGGGGCGCCTGCATCAGTCCAGTAGTTGGTGGGGATACTGTTTATGCAAACGAGCCAAAATTAGGACCACCCAGCTTACATCGAGAGAGGACAATTTTGGCAAAATACATTGGCTATTTACTGGGCACTGGAAAGATTTTCACAGGACATCCTTTACGCATATTATTGTGTGCCCACAAGGGTAAGATTAACCTACTTAGAAAGAAAACATAGATTTATGTTTCTTGGGGCTTTAAACAATCCTGAAATTCTAAGCATGCCCACTTCCCACATCCCTGCTAATACCTTAAAGAAATAGTTCATCAAAAAAATCCAAAGAACATGTTTTAACACTTAGTCCAGATGCAGTCATTCAGCCAAGGCATGTTTGGTATCTGAAGTTTGCTTCTTTCGTTTAGGAGATTCTTTAGTTTGGGAGATGCTAGGCTAATGCTGCTAACAAACACTGGCCTTAGACTGTCACCAAACACATCTTCATAAAGACATGCCCAAAAACATCTGTTCAAAACGCATCCAGAGCTTCATTTGTTTGACACAGACGCATCAATGTGGTTTACTTAAGGGTATGACTTAATTTAGTCTATAACAAAAATAAACATCTCTGTGTAGGTGAATGGTGAATGTTAAGGTGGCCAAAAATGGAACCCAAAAGAGTGTTTGGAGAGATTTTTGCTGAAGGAGTGGTTCTTTAAAAAGCCATTTTTGTACTTTCACATAATGTAAAGCTTCTATACCAATTGCTAGACCAGTTGAAGTTTTTCCCATAACTGCATGCCCAAGCCAAGAACTGTTATTTGTGAGAGTGCAGTCTCAGTGCATTGCAAAGGGCAAGTTCTCTCAATCCATGCATACACAATCCAGTTTATTGCAGCCCCACTTATACTCATCTGGCGCTTCTCAGGAGCTGATTTGCTGATTCAGGAATGTTCGAGTGCAGCTTGCTGAACTACACAGAGATGTGAAGACATGCTGAACTGAGTTAATGAGATGTGTGATTCTGCGTGGCATTTTCCCAGACCTGCTGAGGACACAGCTGTCCAGGCTCTCCACCCCCAGGCTTGTAAATGCAAACTGATTTGTGAGTTTAGGCAATCTAATCATCAGCAGCTAATGACTGGAAATTTGGGCAGGCCTGAATAATCTGAATACTCTAATATTTGTTCATTATGTTAGTGATCATTACCATTATTTAGTATTCAGAAAGTTTGACTTTTGTTAACCCTTCAGATCCCGCCTGAAATCTAGAACACTCTTGCGGACAGTTCAGAGTCAGGCTGGCTGTACATGGTGAAATTTTCATGCAACTTTAGTTGCTTGAAACCTACCTAAATTGCACTTCAGCTACATGGTGTGAAGCGTCCTGAAACTCTGTCATCTCAACTTTGTAAAATAAGGTTCATGAAGCCAATCAAAACACTGCAAATGCATCCTGTGATCATATTTAATGATATCATTTCAAATAGACCACAACAAATGTGATCATATCAAATTATATCATTTAATTTTTTTTTTCTGGATCACTGGAATGGTTTACTGGGTATTTATAATGCAAGGTTGGTTGTTTACAGTTGGTAGTTAGGCAAAGTTTTCAGGCAGTTATCTGAGCCATGACAACAAATGTGAGCTCCTTGAAGCTAAAGTTTCTGTAGCCAGCTGGCTTAACTCACCCATTAATGGTGACAGCTGTTTACATTGCTGCTAGCACCATCGTTTACTCGCTTCTCTGTCTCAGTTAAAATGGTGCTGAATGCTGTTTCACATCTGAATTTCTCGAGTCACTTGTCTCATACATGCGTCCCGTTCACTCGCGCTTACATCGTCGAGTGTCAGACTCTGCTGGAGTTGTACATATCACTGTATTTCTCAGGGTCAGTAGCAGCGACTTTCAGCATTTTTTTAGCTTGGTTGAAGCAATGCGCTGAGACGCCGCTGCTGAATGATACAGATGACCAACGGAGGCGCACCGCAGGTTAGCGGGTTAGTGGACACACAGTCCCGGCTTACAAGCTGACATGGTAAAGGCTAAATCATGGCTAAAGACTATTATTATGCAGAGAGTCTGGCCATTCCTTCCATTTCCTCAATAACAATCTGGACTAACGTTAACTCAGACTGTAAGTGACTACACAGCAGCAGGTGAGTGATTACTGAAAGAAGCCGAGCTCAGTCACTCATGTAAGGGGATCCTGTTAGTGTCTTTTTTCCATGAAACAATGCCATTACTGCTTCTGCCATGAGCATTTTTACTGCTGCTTGTCATCCCACACTCAGGTCACAGGTATTGGTATCGCTGATACCAATACTGTGTTTAAGTGTCAGTATCGACGGCAATACCCATTTGAAATCGATATCCATGCAACACTAAAAAAGGTTGTTACAGAAGGACAGACTGAAATGCACTCTTTGCTGAACTTCTTGTGCTTCCAGCACCAGATGAGTAAGGCATCAAGCAGAATTTAACTGTCATGGCTACTTAAACATCAATTTTCAAAGGCTTAACATACACAGAACAGATTAAATAGTCAAGTAAACATTAAAACTTTTGTTTTCGAATTGCTTTGTTTAACTGCATGCATGGAAATTATGAAGTTTTACCGTGTAGAGTCAGCCTTTGAGGCTTCAGAGGTAGAGGATTATTTCTTTTTAAACAAAATCACAAAAGCAGGAAAAATCTCAATTACCTAACAACAGATATGTAGTTTTGACTGTTATACGACATCCAAGTAAAGTAACTGACATTGCCTTCAGTCACTTGTTTACTTGCCATTGGAGCTGGAAGACGGAGACAAATACAGAGATCAGGCTAGCTAAATAGTTTAGATATTAACAGCTGTAAATCAATATGAATTTAGTATAAAACACTGAAATAATGGCTATTGGGAAAAACTGCCTATATCATAAAAAACAGATGTAATTATAGAGAACCTGTAACCAACAACAATAACCAGTGCATAGTAGCTGCATAAACTGCACAGTAACAAATATCTATTGGGTGTTAACCCATGTTATTTTAATAATTTATGTTTGATTATGTTTGTTTGGTAAAACTTGATTTGTTGTACTCAGCTGTTCATACGTGGGTCATTCTACTATCTACTAGCAACTGGTAAACTCTGAAGCCATGAAATTGAGCTCAAAACAAGAATAAACCACAAAAAGATTATATTCATACATTCTTTATTATACTTCTGCTTGAATTTTTATTTGAGTTATTTTTAGTTATTTTTAGTAACTTCACAGATGCTGAAGAATTATTTTTATTTGAAAACAATATTTTTCCAGTTCAAACTGCAAAAATTGTTGTCTGTCCTTAGAATTTTAAAAATGTACTATTCTAAATTTATTTTGATGACAAATCTTGGACTTACCCCATGGTTTGTGAAATTAATCTTTTAGTCATTTTATATTTCTGATAAAGTTTGATAAAATACTGATGATCTGTGACACATGTCACAAAAAAAGATTGTGTCTGTGGTGTTACCAATGAGACATTAAGTGATTTTAAATTTTATTGTAATATTTATAATTTTCTACACACAATGTGACTTAATGGTCTAAAGTGACAATAAACTATGTTTTAGAAGTTTAGAAAAGCTCAGATGTGAGCAGTTTTGTTGGTGTTTGGATGGTCAGTGGTGTAACTTTACTGGTATTGTTTAATATGAAAGACTCTATTTTATGCTTAAAATATATTTAATAATTCATACCCCATTTGCCACCGCAATGGTAGAATGACCCATGCACTACTGTTGTGCTGGTGCATTTTGTCTATTCCAAGTTGCAAAACCTCAGGAAAACAGAATATTATGGATGTCTTGATCCAGTTTTTTGGCCTTGACCTGAATACTTGATTCCTGATCCAATACTTCTGTGTTTGTACTTGAAGTATATTTAAGTAAGTAAAACTAATTCAATTCAGGCAAATAATCATTTAAATGTTCTAATTTATTTTTTTAAAACTCTATATAAAATATCTTCATAAATAAATAGGCCTTACATTAACAAAAATGATAGAACACTCCAAAGAATGTCATTTCAGGTACAGCTCTGCATAAACATACTATAACAGCTGAACTAATGTCATCCATTGCTTTTTCTAATTTCTTGCTTGTCCCTTAGAGTTCATGAACCCACCGCTTGTCTATTTCAACATCCTCTTGACTGCTCAGCTATATGAGATCCGTGAGACTGATTAGCATGCAATACCACACATTTTAAGTAAAAACTGGAGTCAATTCAGTGTGTGGTAAGGCTAAGCAATGACATTGGGCAAACATCCAAACTCTAAATATCAGTAAAACTGACTGCAGTCAGGTCCACAGTGCAATCTTACAGGTGGTCACAAACTTTATTGAAAATCCCTGGTATGCCAGTGTCTAAAAAAAAGTAGTGTTGAGAGGGAAGGACATACAGTGACTCCACAAACTCCAGAAGACGGCGAAAACCTACATTCTCTTCTACAGAGATTGACTGGTCATCCAAAGCAACGACTTCAACCAACGTCTCTTGCTGTTTGAAAATATTCTTCATTTTTTTTTGTTGCTTCAGTGCAGCTTTTTCTTGAGTGACCTGTGTGAGCTCACTGTATCCTTTCACTTGTTTTCTTTTCGGGTGCTTTATCATATTGGTCGTGTTGAAAGCAGCTCTGTTGTGAAACGCTGGCTTTGCATATTGTGCATGTGGCTGTTGTGCTGGTTTGTTTTCCACTTTGAAATAGTTCCACATTGCAGACAATTTACAGCATGTGAGCTTCTGAATACATGCTTCTCTGCCAGACCTAGTTTTTTTTTTTTAACATTAACTGTTTCAAAGAAAATCTTTAAGAAAAAACACATATGAAATAATATTAAGTTACCCAACATTTTTTGAAAACTACTTCATGCACTACAGACATTCATGAGCTTCTATCTGGTGTAGATTCATGCTGACTAGCATGCTAATAGTGCTCCTGCAGGAGAGACTAGCTATGTCCACATGCTTTACATATTTGTAAAAGTGGTAATTTCCTTTGTTATAACAGAGTTTTGATAATTCAGCCCACTGAGACACTAGATATTACTCTATATATATACTCCTCTATAAATCACTCCACATTAACCCAAAGTTTTAACAGTAAATATGAAAAAAAAACTGTGTACATATCATTAATATTATTTGTTACTTTTTTCTGATGCTGTTTCTTGGCTGTAGACGGGCATCAGAGGAATTTTCTCTGCAGGGCTGGTGCTAGCTGATCTAGGGTAAATACCCAGTCACTTTAGCTCAGTTGTTTTACTGCAGTGAGTCACACTGGAGTTCCAAAGTACGTTGGCATTTATTTTCGGTTCCATGCATTGAAGCCAAAGTTAACGTCAATTAAAATGAGATCTTAACAAACCTCTCTCTCTCACTCTTTCGTACTCTCTCTATTTCTGGTAAACAGAAAAAAAACTGACTATTCTGGCACATGCACCCTAATGTTCCCAATGAACTCCAATTTCCCAGCATACTTGTCAAGCTGCATAGTGATAAATTAGTCATCTCTAGTTTCTCTGTCAGTTCTTTTCCCAATACGGCGATTATCACCTTTTACGCATCGCCGTCAGGTTGCTTGTCTAGGCCTATGCACTGCCGCCAGCTGCGGAAAATGTTCATTTATGGCCCAGGCACAACAATGGCGTACATACAGAACCACGGAGTAAAACAACGTTGACAATGTTCGGCCTAATATAGCAGATACCTGATCCATTAAAATAGGCCCTGATACCGATACTTCAGATCAGATCACTCCTACTAAATTCAGTAATACATTTCGTGAAAAAAAACGTCTTTCAAGTATCACAATGTCATATTTTGCCATCTCACCCACACCTAATGCGCACTACATCACAGAAAGCGTAGAACATGTGAAATCACATCATTTTAATCTTGCTCATCGTATAGCTTACCTGCCAGAGTACAGTTCACTTGTGTATGCTCCAATGGTCCACTACCATCTGGGTCAACCGTGAAGACTCCTGCAGGGCTTCCTGTTTTCCTGTAGGCTTCACATGATCGCTCATATATTGCTGCAAAAGGCCAAGAATGGAAGAGAATAAGAGAGGTAAATAACAACAATTCAGTGGAAGCACTATGATAGGTTGGAAAATGGGGTCATTCTGGCCCATGCTATTGCCTGGCTTGCTGAAGGCTTGCCCTGTAGGTGATGACTGCAAAAATAAGGTTTCCACAACAGCACTGTTTCCATCACAGTTGAGCACGTAATGAAACAAAACAAGATTTTGAATATATTTCCTGTCCTATTACATAATTCTGACAAATAGCTTCAATAAAGCATGTAAGTTTGACTTAAATATGGCCATACTCATACATATCCCTATATGGATGAGCAACAAATCTATCTTTGTTAAGCAATCTATTTAGCGAACAGTGGTAATTACTATTTGTATGGATCTGTTTGTCATGAGAGAACAGCCCTCTGTGTAGTGAGATGGCTAATTGACTGCACACATTGGCTGCCTGAGTCGATATTGCATGGCAGGTTTTGTAAGCTGTGATTTCTCTTTTTTTCCCTCTCTCTCTCTTTCTGTCATTCGATGTAACAAGTGTAACAGATGGACTGCGTCGCGCCTCTTTCCTCAGGGGGCCGTGTGGTCAGAGACATATGATGAGAACGAGCATGTAGCAGCAAAAAAAAGAGCACAAACTGTTCTAAATATTTTGCAGATCATAGAATGTAAGTGCAATAAGCAACTGGTCTAACCTTACTGAAACCTTACTGGTCTACCATTATTTGAATGGTAAATTCACAGGTACACTGAGCTAAACTGGCAAATTTCACTAAAATTTGCATATTAATGACAAATTCTACTCACTGGTAGATCTGCCAGCTCCTTGGCTCAAAAATGGTCACATAACGTTTCGGTAGGTGGCTACAATCTTGCTGCAGCAAACAAAATTTCACACCCATGGATGAATCTGGGGCCAGTATAAACGAGATTCTTTTGCTCCGTTGGGTGTGCGGTGTGACAGGGTCAAGGTCGGATGATTAAGTTGCCACGCAAGCTTGCCAGCGGGTGAAACTGTGCACTGTTTGTTGAATGTGACAGCACAAAAGCTTGTGGATGTTCTTTTAATGCCAAGCTGGAGACAAGGTGTGCAGTGCTCGCTGAAGTAATGTGCTGATTTGTAAATGTGTACATCATTTATATTTGAATAAAATATGCCAAGACAATAATTGTCAAGAATAAGTAAACTGAAAGACTGTATTCAAGTTAATTGATGTTGAGTTTTGTTAACTCAACATCAATTATGTTGATTCAGTTAATTCTGATTTCTTTAAGGACAAATTGATCTGGGGCTTTATTAGCCCTTTTTCCACCTGAAGCGTGCACTGTTTGGCCTAAATAAATACATGACAAAGATTAGCAGATTTTCTGTACTTTCTACTGGCCAAACTTACAATATAAACAACACTATTTGCTCTCTAAAGGGCAAAACTGGCGCTTGCAGTTCTTAAAGGGCCCATCCAACAGTTTCTTTGTCTTTCATTTATTTTTCTACTCATCTGGTTTTATGTCCCAAAAATGGTCATAATTCATTTTTACATGACCATTTTACAACCTCTCTTTATTAATTAGAATTAAAAAGGCTGTTTTTGTGACTGTGCCTATAAGACTGCCATAAGCTAATTGAGTCTTGATTGGCTATCCTGTACTGTCCCTTTTTCAAAAAGCAAACAGAGCTGAAACAATCCTTAGAACATTAATACGAATGAGTGGAGCTAAACTGCTGTAGGCTCCTTTTTAAAAAAAAATAAAGCAAGGGAAATTTCCACAACATGGACCCTTCAAGTGAAAAAATCAGTTGACTATTTAAATAACACAAATTCAATAAAGTGCTACACAGAAAGTAAGGGGAAACAAGCTAATCAGCACTGCACACATTGACTGCACACAGTCAGTCATGCCTCATATTATGTATGTCAAAAAACTACAGCTCAGATTGGTCACATAATGAAAGCTACAGGTGCACTGTCCATTTTATCCTGGCCCGGCTGTCTTTGTGAAGTTAATTGTTTTCACAGCAGGGGGTTCTCATCCTGCCCCTCATTGCTTGCTAGCGGCTCAACACAGAGTCACAACATTTCACACACAAAGAGCCAACAGCGTCCTAGTTAATCTGATAACAGTTGATATTGATAAGAGGGAAAATATTTTATTTTAACATATTCATTAAAAATATCCAAGTTGATTTCCATCTTGCCTGTAGAATGACAATGGGTGGTCTGCAGGAGGCTAGAGAATGACTTGCTCCAATTGTGCATAGAAAAAGATGAGTGACGGTCTCTAAATTTACATCAACATGTTGGATCTACAAGGTGGGTGGTCAGTATGTGTCCACACTGTTTAAAACCCAGCAACGCTCCTGTACTCGATACCTGTACTCATACCAGCACCACATACATTAACATGCCATTACCATGTCAGTGTCACTGCCGTGCTGAGAACGATCCACCACACAAAAAATATCTAGCCAGTGGTGGTCCTGTGGTTTAAATGGAAACAGGGTGACTAAAAATTGTGCAGCAACAGTTACTGGCAAGATTATTTCAGTTTATTTTAAATGTAACATGTATTAATGCATTTAATGTATGTAATGTTCAGTTTAACTGCAAATCATTCAGCACTCGTAAAGTTTGAGACTTGTGGAGAACTCACGGTTATGACAGGTAGCTCCTGTGTAGCCCGTTCCTGAGCAGTTACAGTGAAAATGGTCCCACGACTGGTAGCACACTCCGCCATGTTCGCAGAAATTGGGAACACACCTGATAAACAGATGAAAATACTGAATTTAAGACATTCATGTACTGATGTGATCTCAGAGTGAATACTGAAATGCTACTTCAACAATTTTAAATGCATTAGAACCAGACCTTCCTGTAGGCCAAGCCAGGGAGGAATATCAGTGGTGTCTCACCATTAATTCACGATAAATAACATGTTAACACTGAGTGATCATTGGGTCTTTGGCCTGTTTAACCCAAATTTCTGGGTTAACTGAAGAATATGAACTGAGGTGTCTTGTGAACTGCATTTGCTGCGAATCAAAAACAGCAACGCTAGTAAAACATACATAAGTGTCACTCAGACACAGAAGTACATCTTTAGATGGAGAGAAGCTTTCTAGGTTTAATCAGGTGCGCATGCGGCTCTTTTACTGCCCTGTTGCAGCTCCGTGGCAGAATTAGATTTTTAGGTAAAAATAAAATAATCCTCCTTCACAGTAAAATAAAGCTCTGCTGATCGTTCAACACAGTTTTAACAATAAATGGTTTTAAACGCCGGAGTTAATGTAGCCTATAACTGCTAATTCACCAACGTGTAACCCTGAATACTGGCGTGCAGACTGCTGGTCATCATAGCAATGCCGACAACGATCTCATCTAGCTAGTAGCTAACAAAACGGCAAAGAGAAAGAACATCAGTAATTTGGAAACAAATTGACTTATTTGTGTTTACAGGCACTCCAGCTGGTGTCTTGATACTTTTAATGTACAGTGAAAAACTGTCAAACACTAAAAAGTCGTGAAGTTAAAGTCAGCTTCTCACTTCCCAGCTTCTTGTTTGAATTTTCCGTTCCACCTTAAATGGTGCAGCAGTTACATTCTGGCACAATTAAAGTGGAACGAGAAAATTCAAACAAGAAGCTGGCGAATGAGAAGCTCGTAAAAGTGGGACGTTGAGAGACATTTTACAAGAAAATGTTCTACTTTTGTGGAAAAGTTTCCTGCTGGAGATGTGAGAAAAGCAGCTATAGCTGAGCTAAAGCTTAAAGTAGAGCAAAGTAAGTTTATATTTTTAGCCTATACTAACACATTAGCACATACTGACTCATATTTACTGCCAAGATGGTAAAATAGACATAAAATGTTGTGGCTCCCAAGGTGGTTTGATTTTTGTTGAAAGGACAAAATGGCTCTTCTTAATATGGGGTTCCCGACCACTGTGCTAGACCTACTAAACTAGCCAGCAAGCTAACATTAAAACCATGCTACGGCATTAAATCCGGCTTTTAATCCAGAGGAAAGCTACACACAAACATACACACATAAATCTCATAGTCTTAAATAATATAATATAAAACCACTTCAGCCTGTATGAACACTTTTCACACCTGTGGAATTTTTCCAAGAAAGACATTGTGTGTTTGTGGGAGCAGTTTTCATATTCAGAGAGGAGCACACGTGACAAGTCCACATTAAAAGTAGGCTACTGATGCTCCTTGCTTTGGCAATGAAAGGCTGAGGAGCACTGATTTAAAAAAAAAAAAAGTTATAATTACTATGCTAATTACTATGCTATTACTATGCTATTATAGTTAATAGTTACAAGTATCTAAAGTTTTAGCCTGATGTCAGGAATGCCAAAACTAAAAAAATCAATACCTTTAATATTGCTGATTGTCAACATCTGTTGTTATTATCGGCCAACCGATATACAGGTGGGGCTCTAATCCTGACCTGTCTCGAATGCTGCAGATGTCAAAGCTGAGCTGGCTGAAGTTTGCTGGTCTGTCCTGCTGAATCCTGCCAAGGTTCACTGGCTGGTTGTTGATGAAGATTAGACGTAGGCATCCCTGATACCCTGCGCGCGGTTTCTCACAAGATCCCTCAAAGACAAGGCCATTTTGCGACGCAGGGCAGCCTAAGACAAGACAATGGCAACATTTAAGTGCTTAAATGAGAAAAAAGGCACAGTTCATAAATAAATCCTATCCTGAGAAAATAACATTCACACACAAAGCAGCTTATTTCATTATTAGCAGAATTGCATTGTCTTTAAGTCAGATAGTGCACAGAGGGATTTAGAGCTCTTGGTTGAGACACTGGAGGTTGGAGAAAGATTACAGCAAATAGCTTTAAGTTATTTACAACAGTAATTACTGCACTCCTTAATAAAGACTGGTTACAGACGTGGATTGCATTCTGTGCAGAATTTGCCAAGAAAATGACAAAATTAAAAGAACCAGAACTTCCTGGAGGCCAGAAAGCTAAGAGGTGAGTAGGAAACATTAATGGCTGATAAATAACATGAGAAATGGGCTTTTTGCCTTTTTGACCTTTTTAATCTAACTTCCACAACTTGAGAGTACAAACTCATCATAAGGGGACATAAGACATAAGGGGGCATCTAAGGTGCAGTTCTGAAGTGAGTAGTAACTACTTTTGTTGCAGGCAGCCAGTAGGTCAGGGCAATTTGTCAAACCAAGAACTTACAGTCAGAAATGAAATATCAAAATTGGTCCCTGTTCTTGTATTTTTGTGTATGAAAACTCTTTAAAGCAATAAAGTAATGAAATTTCTACACAATAGAACAAGATAATGGGTCAGTTTTAAAAAAAAACAAGGAATGAGAACAAAGGAAAACAAACTGACCCCTGTGACTTAACCTGATACTTTATTACACAACATGATCTTCACATTAAAATTTCTTTACAATTAACAAAGAGTAATGACAGTATCAATGACTATTGTTGATTTTAATCCAAGTAATTTAAGGACATTTCTACTGGGCCATTTATCATGAAATTGTAATGTAAAGAGCAATTGACATCAAAGGTGTAAAAAATAAACAGAAAATTGGAAAATTAGTTTTGATTTGTATGAGATTAGTCTTACATTGAGAGGTGGGGTAATACAATACATAATGTTACCACACGACCTCTATAATGTTAATGACTGATTCACACGGGATAATCTCAGTGTAGATTAGAGATAGGAGTGTCTAGGTCATTTAGGCATTGCTGTCACTAGAAAAAAGGCTCAATATGTAATACATTCAGCTGCTCACTAGTACACTAAAAAAGATTTATGATTTTGTCTCAAGTTGCATGCAAAGAAAGTATGTTGCATCAACAAAATTGCTTTCTTTAAGTTTACTGGTTTTGGCAATTATTGTGTTCATGTACTAAATTTTTTTTTTCATGTACAACGACTGATAAATTCTAATCAATTCAAAGCACCATTTTTTCCAATGTAGAAAACATGTACAAACATCTACTTGGCTGTCTTAAGTGAATGTAGAATGTTATTAGCATTGTCCTTAGCCTTTGTCATTAGCCTTGTCATTAGCACTGTTATTAGCATTGTCATGCCTCTAGACTGAGAATCAACTGGACATTTTAATATCCGGTCAGCAGCCTCAACCAGGCACCAGACAACGGAGCTCAGAAGTGGACTCTCCAGTCCAAAACTGGACACCTGGCAACCCTAGTTAGATAAATGTGTCACTCATGCTGCCTTCAGGTGCTCATCAGGAGTTTGTACATACCATGGTCAATTAGTAAATACAACTTCACTCTGTTTGGCTGCTTGTTCATAGATACAGCTAGGCAGACCCGCCCCCCAAAAAACTGAAGAAGACACACCTCCCCTGCCGCCCTAAATCTATGCCTTTGCATTTAATGTAGGACAATGCACATCCACTTGATTTGGACCACAGAAAATACAAATAATGCTTCCTTGAGTGCCTTAATGTCTTCTTGAAAATTTACCTCCCAAGAACATGGTTGTCCTCTGCAGGCTTTCAGTCAAACGAATGATCTCCATGACCGCTGGCTTCTGATTGTCCACAGACAGGTAGACCTGCTGAGCTTTGACCTCCAGTGTTACCGAGTGCCACTGTCCATCACATAAACTTCGACCTAGTGAACAGACAAAAACACACTGAAACGCTGGCCAGAAAATCAGAAATGGATGATCATGGTTTAGATTAGTTTAGACTGGTTTGTTTAGCTCTTATTGACTAAGCGGCTCAACCAAGTTGAGAGCAGACAGCGGTGGTTCAGATCCACATAGGATTATGTCAAAGAGTCGTAATCCTGCAGTCAAACCTAGAGCACTGCAACGGCTTACAGCACGTCTAGCTGGAGGATGAGCGAGAAAGGGATTAAATGTATCTCCAAACTTTGATTAGTTGAAGTTTACACTGAGTGCGGAAATAGTTTGCTTATTGAACGTGTCTACAAGCAGAAGCAACACCCATTACTGTCAACCAAACTTCTATGAACATCCAAGTGTGTAGTTTGGTTTCAGAAGTATGTGTGTGTGTGTGAGTGTGTATGTATGCGCGTGTTGGAGGGGTATGTCTGATGGTGGGCTCCACTATGAAGCTGGAGCCCACCATCAGAAATAGGGAAATGTCTGATGATGTATCAAAAGGTTGGAGAAAGTTTTGAAAAACTGCAACTGCTTTGGGGTTTTTTTTTAGGGTGGGCTGTTTGAAATGTCTTCATTTAGCTTCCTAGCAGTGTTGCTAGCTAGCTTGTTTTCTTCTGCATTTGCCAGCTAGCAAAAAAGCATATAAAAGGCAGCGAAGGTGTGCATGGACACAAAGCCCTCCAGCACTTTCTATACAGCCCCTAAAAATCCACGCCAATACAGTTGTAGTTGTTCAAAACATCCTCCCATGTTTTGAGGCCTTATCAGAAAGGGATTTTTCTAGTCTGTCTGGAGTGTCTCTTCAATGTTAACTTAGAAAGTGAAGGAAACAAAACAAAAACTACATCATCACAACTACAAAGAACATCTTGATCATCGCACCCTTGTCCACTCCTCCTTCCATGCTTCAGCGCTCAGCTTCACTGGCATACTGACCACCTGCTCCACCATTAGCCCACCTCCTCATTCCACATCTGTCTCCCAGCTGGCACAAATCAGACATGACTTCAGATTGCAAAGCATTTTGTTTTCATACACACTGAGTGGCTAAGCCCATCTTTGATCATGTGCCACATCTTTTACATATTACTTTTCCCAATATGTTAAATTCAATAAATAAATAATAATTGTGCAGAATTGTGCACAGTGTGTAAAAAGTGTGTCCTCTGTAGAGGATGTCTTCACTTCTTCTTACTTTTGCACACATTTGCATACAACTGTATATGTATATACAGGGATATATACATATGTAGGGATTCACAGAGTACTGTGTTACTTCTTAAGACCTGGTTTAACATTTGATAGTCACTTTGTTTTTTCTGAAACTGATATTATTTCAGCACCTCTTTAGGACAACCTTAAAACACAGAATTATACATTGATTTTTATTAACTAACTATCAAACAACTTCATTGTAATGTTTGGCAGTGATCTGTTGTCCTGTCTGTGCTATTTTAAGATGCTGGAATTTACACTGAAATATCTTGCTCTATTCATTTTGAATTGCTTAATTTCTTTGGGATGCAAGATTATTATTCTCTTTGGAATATGTTCATTTTTACAGCCACATTTTATTACTATCTTTTGTGTTTGATGTTGGCCTGATTTGGTGGCTTTTCAGTCCTAATTAAAGAACTGAGCCTCGAGTAGAGGGCAAGAGAAAGGTCTAGAGTGGCAGAGAAAGATGACTCCTTAAATTTTGTATGTTGTTTACCCATCCATTTCAGGCTTGTATCTCTGCAGTTTTACTTTCAGCTGCCCTTGAACGCCTTTCACACTTTGATCTAGTGTATTTTGGTTCTTTGAGAAGTACTTTATTTTTCATCAACTCCCTGCATTCCCAGCTTTTCCACTAGAGTCTGAATGGGATTTGCAAGATGCTAAAGAAAAGATTAAAGTAAAACAGACTAATGGTGCATTGGATGGACCTCAAAGTCAGAAAATTGCCACGCATTAAACCTACTACCAGTTGTTTGCATTGTTGTTTCCAAATAATCATTGGCGACTGGTAAATTTACCACATGAACAATATGTATATGCACTGGAGTGGACCAATGGCAACTTGGCCTACTGTATTCATGTGGTATCAGAGAATATACGGACTGGTGATATGTTACAACCAAGCATGTCCCTACTGGTGTAGTCTGTGTATGCCAAACATACTCAGTTTGACTGAACAGAACTGCAAGGATAAACGTTATTATAATTGTATTGTAATTGTAATATTATATTGTAAAATAGGGTGTAGAGAGACTGTATTGTCCTATGATACACATCACCATCTGCTTTTACTTTTGGTGCACAGTGTTAGCAAAGTCATCCAGTTTCTTGTGTTTACTCAGTACTCAGCGTGTTATTTGGAATGAAACGTCTACATTGATAATTGTCTGTAGACCAAACTGTGCACAGAAGCTGCATTTTACCTTGCATGCGCCAAGTATTGTCATACAGTGTGGGTATAAAAGGGATGGTCTATAGGGTGAGTCACCAAAGAACAAGATTTCTAAAATCACAACTACAGCTCAACCAGCCAAACACAACACTATATAAGACGCAAAACATGAGCTTCTTGGATTAGACTCAGATGTGATTCTTGCTGTGACTGTGCTACAGAGACTGCTGCTGAAACATTTATGGGATTTGGCAGACACTCTTATCCAGCGACACTTAAAATTTGATCATATTTACATAGGTAGGTGAAGGTAGTGTTGGGAGTCTTGCCCAGGGACTCTTATTGGTATATTATAGGTTGCTTGCCCAGGCAGGGTATTGAACCACAGTCTACAGCGTAGAAGGCAATGGTGTTACCCACTACACCATACCAACCACCAACCAGGAGCTTAGAATCAAAACTATGAAACGTACTTTACTTATAGCTGTATAGAAGCACTTTTCCAACATGGTACAAAACCCAGGCTTCACCACTGCAGCACTACTCGATTTAAGGTAACTAATGTAGCATAGCTAGCTATTGCATGTCATTTAAAATTGGCTAGATTTGAACAATTTCACTACTAAGGTATGTTGCACTAATTTACACTAACTACTACTTAATTCTAAGTAGGCCACTCACAAAAAACCCATCTTGGTTGACACATAGCACACAAGCTAATTTCATTGCCCTTGTTTTATCATTATAGTAATTTTTGTATGGGGGGCACATTAATTATTTTTTGGGCTGGGGCCCATAAGATCACTGATCACAGCTCCTAATCTAGCAACACGCTGAAGTTTACTACTTGTATTTTTGACTTTGTGAGCAATTCAAATGCAGCTTCTTTTGGGTAAACTTACAAAACCTTGAGAATTCATGAAAATATCGTCCAAACCCACCGGAACTTTGAGGCAGTTAGCAGAGATAAATTACAGCTGCATGTCCAGTGAGATTTCTGTAGGTGAATGATTGATTCTCTCACCAGTGGAGACTTGAGTAGTGCCCTGTGGGGGTCCTCGGAGAGACAGCTGGAGTGACCCCTTGCTGAGCTGCAGGACAAGGGAAGCGGGTTCCAGGCCACGTGTCAGCGGGACATAGAAAAGCCGACTGTCCCGGTTCCACGTGCGAAACTGCAGCCGCACAGACAGTCCCTCCATTCCAGGGTCAGCGAGCAGGGCCAGATAACTGGCAGTGGAGTTCAAAAATGTCACGGAAACTGGCTGCGACTCAGAGCATGAGAACGTCACGTTACCCTGAGAAATGAGAATCAGAGTCAGTTCTATTTTTGTAAGGAATCTGTCTTGGTGAGTGCACAGTATTATTAATATACAACATACTTCACAGGTTAAGTCGGCATACAACATTATTAAAACTGTGCAAAGGAAATATTAAATATGATTTAATAAGGGTATAATCAACACTTAGAAGTTACAGTTATCTTCTGTGAAAACCAAAGCAAGTTATGATTTCACATTAATGGATTCTCAATCACAGCCTGTTTAAAGAAGTGGAGAAATTATGTGAAAACTGCAGATTCTAAACTTTTGATCTGTGTTATTTTTGTGTTGTAAATAGAAGAGGAGATATTATAAGAGGAGATATTATAATTCAAATTGGATGAAAACGTATTTCTTTGTCTACACAGGAAAATAAGAGCAAAAACAGGAGATTCCAAAACCATTCAAATACATCATTAAAAATACAGAGAAAATGGGGCTCCTAACAACCATACAAGATCTGGTAGACCACCAAAACTGTCCCCATCAGATAAACAGTTTAAGCTTTCATCTTTGAGCGAAAGTCAAGCTCCACTCTTTCTTTAAATCTGAAAAAATCCACAAGTGTTTCTGTCCATCCTTCCACTGAGTGAAGACAACTCAACACCATAGGTCTGAAAGGATGTAGCTGTCATGAAGCTGTTACTGAGAAAAGGGTACAGATGAAAAAGAAAAACATTTGCAATTCAAACAAAGAAGCTGCTGGTCTTCTTGGAACAATGGACTGACCTCCCCAGAGTCCAGACCTCAACATCACTGAATGTGTTTGGGATTATTTGGATTGTGAGAAGCAGAAAATGCAACCAATTTCTACAACTGAACTTTGGAGGTGTGGAAAAAAACGTCCCTGCAGATTTCTTTGAAGCTGTCATAAAAGGCAAAGAGTGGGCACTAAATACTGAAAAAAATGATATTATATTTAGTTGTTGAGGCTTAGATACCACTTTAAAGTAAGACTACCTTTATAAAGCGTCCATGAATAGTTTAAAATGTTTATTGATTAGGTCTTAAAGATCTTAAAATCATTAAGAAGCATTTACAACACCTAAATAAAAAGGGCAACAGTGACCTGTTGTTTGCATAATAATAATGAACCCACATTCATTTCTACTGCTAAAGCTCAGATTTTGATGTTTACTGATCAGTCAGCATTAAACCTGCCAGCTTCATCACATTCATATTCATCAGCTCACATTTGCCCTTTTTAATAATGCATTATAACTGCTTATTAATGCTCAATGAAGTGTTAATGACCTAACTAATAACCAGTAACTAAATCATTTTGAACTATTTATTATTATTTATTATTATTATTATTACTATTATTATTATTATTATTATTATTATTGTTATTAGTATTATTATTATAAAAACACTTGCTTTCTAAAGGTATAAAATATAGCTATAATAGATTAGAAGTACAAAAAAATGATAAATAACAGAATGTGTGCAAGGTCTGAGGAAACAGTATTATTCAGTATTATACAGTACATACAGTACATAACAGCATGTACAGTATACAGTATATCTCAGTGTGAGAGACAGAAGGTGGAGAGAAGGAGCGACAGATGAAAGAAAAGAAAGAAGATAAAGAAAAAACAGTAGTGTGATAAAAATGAGACTGAGGGATGTTGGAGGAGGAGTGGAAGAGAAAAGACAGATGCATGGACGTGGGAATCAACGAGAGGAGGAGAAGAAGAGAAGAGAGGCATCCAATTAAAGAGTGGGACGGATAGCAGAGGGAGGGAAGCAATAGGAGGATAAAAAAGAGAGATATATGTAGAGGATGGGGATGGCAGAGTGGGTGTGGAGGAGAAAGGTGGGGAAAAGCAGGGAAAGGTACACAGTGTCACAGCTTTAAATCCTCATGCAGTTCAAGCCTCTGCCAAGAAGTGATTTAGCTGGAGCTATTTATGTCCTACTGTTTTATATCAGCTAGCTGCCAAACTATTCTCAAGGCTGCTAATTGAGCAGACACACCTGCCTGCAATTTACCACACAGTGCTAGACAGACAGCTTTTGGGGTTGTTTACATTTAGACACTGTTAAGAAGTCTCTACAAAAAAAATAAAAAGTAAATTAGATAGACATTTGACAATTTAAATATTTAGACTATATAAATATTTAGTCAAATTGTCAGTGGAAGTTATTCATTTTTCAGTCTCAGAAAAAAAATTGGAAATATATTTCATTGAAAATTACAGAAATCTCAATAACTAAATATAATATTAATTTTTTTCTGTATTTTAGTTGTCCATTTTTTACTACTGTACACACTACTTCCACTTTAACAAATCTCTTTCCAATATGCATCTAAAATGGAGTCCATTCTGAGGTGATATAAGACAATCAACTTACATAAGGTAGAGGAAGGTCAAATGAAAACAAGTGAAAAATTTAAGTTTCCAAAACTGGCGTTTTAAAAAATGATTAACCCCTTAATATCTCAGATTCATTACATAGTAAGACTTATTATTCAGTAACTACAGAGACTTAACCGTAAACTGGTTGATCAATTCTTAGGTTATAGATGTGTGCAAAAAAAACTTTGGGCCTGCCAGTGGGGCCCTGGCCATCTATGGTGTTAAAAGATAAAGAAAAAATGAAACTCTTAACCATCTAGGGCCTGCTAAACCACCAAAACAGTACTTCAGGCAGAAAATCAAGCTCCACTCTTGCTTCAGATCTGAAAAAACCTACAGGTGTTAGATTTCCACTGAAAGGATGTGCAGTTGCTGAGAAGCTGTTACTGAGAAAATAAAATAGGCGAACAAGAAGAAGATGTGAAAATGAATCAAAGAAGCCAGTGCTCTCAGAACAATGGACTGACCTCAGCATCACTGACTGTGTTTGGGATTATTTGGATCGTGAAAAGCAGAAAATGCATCCAACTTCTAAGACTGAACTTTAGAGTGTGAAAAATATCCCTGAAGGTTAGTTTGAAAAACTGAATGCTCTCACAAAAGAATGTAAGCTGTAATAAAGGTAAAGAGTCGACACACTAAATACAGAAAAAAGCTGATATTATATTTATTTTTGTTTTGTACTAATGGCTGTTTTTAAAATTTTGGAAATTTAATAAATAGAAGGTTGATTTTTCAAAAGCACCGTAGGTAATAACATAATCAGTATCATATTTACATCTAATTTACACATATCAACAGCTTTGAGTTTCCACTTTTGACTTTTTCCTGTTTGCTGTGACATCAGCAAATGATAAACACAGCAAAAATGTGAAGGAAGTAAAACAAGATGCACAACAGTAACTTCCCATCAATTCCAAATCACCATAAAACATCTTCCTCTTCCACCAACGAACAAATACAGAACTGAATGGGAGGGTTAACAGAACCTTCTTCAAACACATGGCTCTAATTCTCTGATTCTTTGGTAGTGGTGGCTTGGAAACTTGGGAAAAAAAAGCTGTAGATCTAAAGCACTTTCCTTCTGGCATCCAATAGAGTGATAAGTGAAGGAGTTGTTAAAGTATGCAGATTATAAAGCATCCCCCAGAGATAAAGAGAGAGAGAGTGACAAAGGGAGAGTGAGAGCAGCCAGTACTGTTAATTAGGCCCAGAAAAGACACTTTTACAGTTACATGAACATGGCAACCTACACACACACATAAGCACACCATCTTGATCCTGACACTGTGACGACAGAAAAAACTATCACTCCAATTAAGAAGAGCTCTGCAGAGCTCAGCTGACTGACTGTGGGGTCACATGTACAGCAGCATAAAACACAGTGTTTTAACACAGTTACAAAAAAAAAAAAGAAACATGGCAAGTTCCCGAGTTGTGTTTACTGGTTGGTGTGATGGAGTCGTATTAGCAGTGGAATTACACTCTGTAGTGACAACAGCCTTTGTGAAGATGCCAGTACTACACTAATAGCAGTACACTGGAAAATTTAAATGAGTGTCTTACCGAGCTTTCCCCAGTTCAACGCCTTAAAATCTCAGGCAAATTATATACTAAGGCTTATTATTCAGTAACTACAGGGACTCCAGTGCAAACTGGCGGAGCTAATCTTAGGTTGTAGAAGTGTGTAATAGAACTTTAGGCCCACCAGCAGACCCTGGCCATTCTTAACCCTCTTGTTTTGTCATGGGTCAAACTGACCTGCTTCAAAGTGGAAAAATACAAGAAAAAATATTTATATATATAATATAATAATTTATATATATAATATAATAATCTTTGGAGCATGAAACCTTTTCTGCTGGACTTCTGGCTCATTTAGTGTGACTTCAATTGAAAGGGTCAATTTGACCCAGAACAGAAGAGATGACTTGTTTATATTAACCAATAGTCCCCATGTTGAAAAAATGTTGAAAAAAGCCAATTATAATGAATAAATCTGTTGAATGTCTAAAAAAAAACAGTTGAAAATTATTTTTAATGAAAAATGAGTAAATTAAAGTAAGTAAACCACAATCTGTACGGTGTTAAAAACCTGACAACACTAAATGTTCACTACACTGATATTAACTGAGCAAAAGATAATGTTTATGGACAAAAATATATTTTTTAACTTCTTTTAGATCAGTAAACATGCATCAGGTGAATTTGACCTGGGAATATTATTATTGCTGTTCCTTACAGTTGAACATAACAGGAGGGTTAAAGCCCCCCTAAAATTCATGATTTTCCTGGATGATTTCATGATTATCTATAGCTTTTGTGATGTTTTACTATGAACTGGGAGAGAAAGAATGACGTTGGGATTTTTTGTTTAGAAACTTTTGAAATGACTTTTTCTGCTGTGTGGTGGGACTAAATTTGGCATAGGTGACATGAGATCTTCCAATGTACCAATCAGAGTTAGCAATATACCTTAGCTACTCATGTTCCTCTCCCTCACATAAAGTGACCGCCCTTCTGCTGAGTCTCAGCCAAAACTCCCAGCAAGTAGATTATTTTAGCTTTTCTAAATTTTACAGTGGTTGTTATGAAAGTTTATTACATGGCTGTTTGTAGCATAGCTAGACACTGCTTCCTACTGCCGTTAGCCACTTGTTGCGGGATCCTACTATAAGTGATTAACTTCATTTACACAAGTGTGACACCTAGCAGCCCACCTTAACTGTAGGAAAGAAATCATATGTTAGCTTAGTATTTCATTAGCTACCCTCCCTGCCAATACCAAAGCTCACAGTGTTTCCCCACAGTTGTAATTTACAGGTGTGGCACACAATAAAGCACACAAGAAATTTCTCCACAGTGTTCACAAATATGACCATGCTGACTCATAACGGGAGCTTGTGTGAGCTCAGTTTAGTATATACGTTAGCTTTAGGTTACGGAGATAACATTAGCTTGCGTTCAAATGTCGGTATGTCCGTGATCTACCTGCCATAGGATAAAAGCCTGAGTTTGCGAATATTAGCTGTGAAATGTAATTATATCTCTACAATAGTCAACAGACAGTTTGATCTCCGTTTTGCACTTTTTATTCACCATTCAGAGAGTGGCCGAGAAGAGTGAAGTGGTCTGTTTTTCTTTGGGGGGAGGCTCAAATGTGCAGCTGAACCACACTGATTGGCAGTGCTGCTCACCACTGCCACTGGAGCTGCTACACTGCCTCGGAGATGCCACTGTCAATCATTTTGCATTCTGACAAGCACACATGCCATGAGCAGCAGCTTGAAATCTTTGGAGCATTTATCTGCTATTAATCTCTGTTTGTATCGTATTTATGTAAATTTCTTGAATATAAAACCTGATAAGGAAAAACGCATATTCCAAATGTATTTATCGAATTTTTTTGCAATATCTAAAAATGGTCAAAAAATGTATTTGTTAAATACATTTTTAAAATACATTTTAAATGTATATTTCCAATGTATTTTGGCATAGATTGCAACGTATTTCAAATATATAAAATATATGTTTCATATATTTTTTCCATGTGGGACTGCTGAATGCTTTTTCCACAGCATATAGTTACTGTCAAAACAAAAATTCAAACTTTTGAAACCATGTTGACAGGGGCTTTAAATCACATAATGCTCACTGTGATGTGTTTAAAAAGTGCTGCAGGGTAAATCTAGAAACTCACCACAGTGTAGATCTGAGGTTTGCGTCTCTTGGCCATGTCGATGACATTGACTCCATTGTAGTAAAGGTTCTCTAGGCACCCGTGGAAATTCTCCCGCAGAAAGGTCCCAGGCTTGCCAGGAAGAGGGATTCCGCCAAAACTGAGCTTGAGTAAACACATACAGACATATGCAAAACGTTTGGTCAAATGACATGTTTTGTTGATGTTCTATATCTACATTCACACTGCAGGTGAAAGTGGCCCAAATCAGGACTTTTTGGTCATATGTGACACAGCTTTGTTTTTTGTGTGACAGTGTGAACAGCAAAAACACATTGAATCTGACTGTTTCAGTTCAGATTTGGGCCACTTTCGTGTGTGGTACTGAAATCCAACACATATCTGACACAGAGCAATGTGACCCCTGTCTGAACAGTCAGATCTGAATGTATGCTTCTACATCAATTCAACTCAATCTTCATCATACTTTCCCTTACCCTTACAGTGGTGTCATCAAAATACCTGTTACTAGAGTTACACTTCAGATCTGGTGTCGCGTTGGAGGAGTGAGAGAAGCATGGGCAGTGAAAACAAATAGCACAGCATTTTCTAACTGTACTCCAAGGATATTAAAAACAAAAAAGGGAGAGAAACAAAAGTCAATGGAAAAAAAAAAACATAAAATGTGGTCTGTGCTTAATGTAATGCTTTGTGTTTAATCTCATATGATTGTGTTGTTTCAGCATCTGGACTGCTGTGTTGTTTCTCAAACCTCTCACTTTGAGCTTTACCATTTGATTTTTGACCAAAAGGATGCCAAAAAGAGAGGAACAGAGCCTAACAAACTTCAGCTCCTGCCAGGGCTGGATAGCTGGAAAGCCTTCAGATTTGTCTATGCTAAGAACACAGATATGCAGAAGGTATAAGCCTGGCTCATGCTTTTTGTCCTGGATGGTCTCCATTCATTTTATACAGAACTACATTAGAAATGACAATACGGCACATGTGCCACGTGAATACTTCGATGCAGTTTCTCTTTCTCGCTCTCTCAGCAGCACATAGCAACTCCCTGGGAATCATCCCAGTCCTCCCAATGGTCACACATTCCCTGGTTCCAGAGAAAATACTGGCATCTATGTTTATTGATATTTTTTATTATTAATACAATTATCAGTTACACTTTATATTAAGTGTCTCTAATAACTGTGTAGTTACATATGAAAAACATATGCAACAACAATGTAACTACTAATGATTTAGTCGCTGTTACAGTTGGATTACAGAAGTACACCTTATGTAATGATACATGCATATCAACTTCAGTTTTGCCTCATGTAATTACACAAGTGTATCTTAATAGTTGTAACAGCCTCTCATGTAATTACATGAGGGTAATAACATTAATGTAATTACATTGGTAATCAGACAGGAGCAGCAGTTTTGTTTTTTTTTCCAGTAGTAAAAGGAAGTATGTAATAACTTACATTAAGACGTACTTACACTGGATCTGAAAGCTTTCCTAACATTTAGCTAGCATTTATGTGGCTAGTGCTGTAACATTGTAATGAGTTTCAACTTTAAACCATTCTGTAATGTGACAGTACAGCAGATGTCCATTTATATTAAAACATAACTTTTGTGACATTAATTCAATGTGATGCATTACCCCAAAGCAATTTATATATTACCACTCAATTATTATACAGTACCTATAAAACAACTACACAGGAACTGTCCACTTATTCCAAAGCGTAACTTTAACACTACACTACAGGAAAGTTCCTGTATAAAAGATACACTTTTGTAATTACATGAGGCAAAAAGTTGATACACATGTGTAATACATAGGCTGTACCTCTGTAATCCATCTGTAGCAATGACTAAATCATCAGTAGTTACAGTGTTGTTGCATATGTTATTCATGTGTAACTACACAGTTATTAGAGACACAATATAAAGTGGCACCCAATTATCATTGCAAGAGGTCATAAAACTTCTCAGTTTCAAAATTTGATGTGTTGTTCCGTGCTATTTTCAATTAAACAAAGAGTTTAAATAATTTGTACATCATTTCAATCTGTTTTTATTCACTTATTGCACAGTGTCCCAGCTTTTTTTGGAAACAGGGTTGTATTATAGTAGCATAGGCTCAATTCTTGTCATTAAAATGTAGATAAATAAATTTGATGTGATTATAAATAGACAACCTATGTCATGTCCGTGTACAGGCTTGTGGTTGCCGGTTGCTATTGGCTGCTTTTAGCTGATGACTATGGTAAGCGAAGAGGTCAAATATGTATACGTATTAACTGACAAAACATTCCTTATTGGGGCTGAAACAGCCTGTTTTATATTCATTGTTATTGTGCTATCATGAAAACCAATGCATTTACATACATTCGTGTATTCAGCATAAGGAGTGTTTCAACCTGCACTGCTTTTTGAACGAGGCAATCAAGACAGAGGTTATTTACATATATATCAGTTTGAAAACTGGTTCAATTCTAAGTGATAAAGAAAGGTTGTAAAATGCTCCTATAAAAAATTATGGCTGCTTTTGGCTCATAAAACCACACAAATATTATAAGTGAACCTCAGGGGATAAAATTCAAAATGCAAGAAAAAGGTAAAGCAAAGTTTTTGTATTGTATTTGTAAGCTGAAGTTCTTGCTTACCACATTTTTCTAATGATTTAGCAAACGAATAACATGTGCACTTTATAAATAGGCTTTCACACTTGTTTGCCTTCAGTTTTACTTCTTGTTGATTGTAGTTTTAATGGAATCGATATGTTATAGATTGTTCTTGGCCTGCTTTTGGAAATTGGGAGTGGATATACATTTGCTGTGCATTGATTTTAGAGAGGACTGTTTTTTTTATCCTGCTCTGCAGCTGTATAATAGGGGCATATGTAAGGAATGTGGCATTATTTAACAACGTCTGTTCTTAATCACGTTGGTCTTATCTAGGTCTGTTCTCACAGGTGACTCATAACCCGACCTGCTCCTAGTCAAGGTTGAAGGCTCACAAAAAAGCGAAGCTGCTAAATATTTCAACTATTTGTTAAGAGTGGTATCTATAATAAATGGTCAGTTTCTAGGCAAAATTGAAGCCATAAATCATTTAGGCCAAGGAGGCTTAAGAAAACAGAACTTATGTGCTTTCTTGTCAGGGATAATTATCAGCTAAGGCAGCAAGAGAAAAAGAACAGTGAATAGTAAAAACACATGAGGAGTGTTAGAGACAAATTCACAAGAGTACAAGAGGCCTGACGGAAGATTGAAGGCAATGATGGTGGAGAATCCTTCATAAATAGCTTTTATTCATGTTATTTTATTTGCTTGTGAAAGCATTTGTGGGGAAAAAAACGTGGAGCATTCCATGCTCTGTTTGGAAGTATGACTAATTCTCTTTCCGAAATTTCTGTGAAACAGTGTGAAACATGCAATATGAAATGCCATATGGTGTTGTTATGGTTTTGGTGTACATATCACACCAAATAGGTGCCTCGGTAGCATAGAAATACTTGCCAATCACATTCAGAAAAGTACAGAAAGCTTGGCAGGCTCACTGACTCACTGTTCTATTTTTGTGACTCCTCTCAAATGTTGTGAGGCGTTCAATATGAAATAGTAATGTAGGCTTGATCAGTTCACTGTGTACAGTAAAGTACAGAGAACTGTGCACTGCACTCTTCAAATAAATCTCAGCTTTGATGTACATTTCTTGGAAAACACTGTAAAGTCCCAAGAAACAGCATAAAATATTTAAAATGTTTGTATGATATTTTTCACACACATATTTCTAAAAAAGACAGAAATATAATTAAACATGTCTTAAAACCAGCTGATCAGACCTATCCTATAACTGTCTGGGTGTGGCCTAATATTCTGATGAGCATGCTTGATTGACATTCCTCAGTCCAAAATTCTCATCCTGCATCACCACTGAAGCAGAAGTAAACACAACAGTGCAAGCAGAGGGAAATGAGTGAAGTGGTCACGTTCATGAACCCACAGAGAGACTGTAGGGAGCACAGTTTTCTTAAAGCTGTATAGGCAGAACAACCCACACCAACCTTGTGATTGGTGAGGATAATGCTTATGTAAGTTTGACTCAAGATTAGGACTGCCTAGTGTACATGACTTACGTTGTACACAAGAGCAGAATGAACCTACTTAAGCCCAATTTGGATGGGATTAAACTTATTTGGGCTCCTAGGGTAATTCCCTCTTGTACAGGTGCTACTCTGTGATTTTATAGCCGTCCGGATTTTATTTTCTTTTTAATTTTCACTCCTCCCCAGGCCGAATTACCTACTGTTTTTCACCAAACTCAGAGGTACTCTGGGAATTGTAATCCTGTCTGGATAAAAATTTCTGTGTTTTTCCATGTAGACGTCGTCCTCGCTTTGGAAAAAAGATTTGCTGCTTGCCATATTTGGTCTCCTAGAGTGCATATCAGAGACCCTCCTTCTTCCAGATGTTAAATGCTTTCTGAATCACAAAACAAAAAATTTATGCTTTTGAAGAATCACTTGTTTTGATAAAGCTCTGTGGGCAGAACAACCCACACCAGCCTTGTGATTAGTGAGGGTACTGAGGTAATTTCCCTGCCCAGATCAGCCATGTTGCTTTTTTTTGTTCTCACTCCTCCCCTGAGGAAATTACAAACTGAATTACCTACTGTCTTTCACCAAACTCAGAGGGGCTCTAATAATTTTAGCCCCATCCGGATATTAATCTCTGTGTTTTTCCATGCAGACGTCGCCTCGCTTTGGAAGAAAGATTTGCTACTTGGAAGATCAAGTATTAGGTCTCCTAGAGCGCATATCAAAGGCCCTCCGTCCACCAGAAATTAAACATTTTCAAAGTCAAAGTCAAACCTAAACTGTATTCTTTTGAAGAATCACTTGGTCTGGGTGGTAAACCCAGAGCCAATTTAAGGGGAGCCTGGTCTCGTCTTATTTCTCTCTTTGTATCTAAACCATGACTGTGACACATTAGAGGGCGCCCATGAGCAAGTCCTCAACAAATGGTGGTGTGCAGAGCCAAATGGCTAAAAAAAAAAATAAAATAAAAAAAAACTTATTTTGAACTGTTTGTGGAAAAATGCATTTTGTTAAAAAAGAGAAAACTTACTGTATTTTTCCATTTCTCTACAGCATGCAGGTTTTAGGCGGTAAGACGCTAGTGTTACTGCTACTGAGTGCTGATTGGTTGGCATTACTGTTACTGAGTGCTGACTGGTCAGCATTAATGCTACTGAGTGTTGATTGGTTAGCAAGCTGATCAGCTCATTGGCTGAGTGAAGCAGTTACTGCTCACTGACATCATGAATGAATGTGGTATTGTTGTAAAGTCCTACAATTGGACTTAAAAAGCGCTCGAAAATAACAGCAGTGTTGAAATATTTTTATGCTGTTCTGAGTTCAGAAGATTGATTGTTCTTTATAAAAAAAATATTAAGCATTTGCAAACCGATTTTGTATAAAAGCTTCCTAGCAGCCCATTCATTTTGGACTCACTCTGGAGCACTCTACTGTCTAATAAACTAAAGACATTATCAAGTGGCCATTCTGTTCACTAAAACGTTGATACCATATGCTGCCTGGATGAGTGTTATCAGGAAGAAAAAGAAAACACCTATGAGAAAAGCGAGATCTTGTAAGCTCACTAATGGGGTGTTTGTAATGGCAGCTACAGGTATAAAGCATTATTTTATATACACACATGCGCAATATATTCAACTTTCTTAAAGCTTTTTTTTAGAACATTCTGTAGAAGTAAAGATTAGTTGCCTTACTGTTCCTTAAATATCTAATGTTACATTTTTATAAAATTAAAAATACAACCCATTAGAAACTGATGTGTAAACTTTATTGCTGTCCAGATGTGAGAGTTTCATCTCTGGGCAGAATTTTTATTATTTTTTTTTTTTACATATGCCGCCCTCATATACAGATCTACTCTGAATAGAGCTTTAGAAAGAAAACACAGATTTTACTCCCCTGGGTTTTAATTTTGTGCTAAAATTGTTCTGAATGCTCCCATATCTCAGGTACAAATACAGTTCCTTAAAGACGCAGCCACTGAAAGGTTCTTTAGGGAAGCAAAAGCGGTTCTTCTATAATGTCTCTCCAAGGAAACCTTTCTGACACCTTTCTTTTTAAGAGAGTAGAGCACTTTTTCTATTTCTTTGATCACTTAGATGTAACAGTAATACTTTGCTTTTGACTCTCAACTGGTCAAAGATTGTGCATCTATTATCCATTGAATTTTATGTACTAGGCCTAATCCTGAGGATCTTTCACTGAAAAACAATCCCAATCCTGAAGAAATTTTAGGATTGATCAGGCCTAATTCTGAGAAAGTTTCAGTGTTGATCAGGCCTAATCCTGAGAAAGTTTCAGTGTTGATCAGGCCTAATCCTGAGAAAGATGCGGTGTTGATCAGGCCTAATCCTGAGAAAGATGCAGTGTTGATCAAGCCTAATCCTGAGAAAGATGCAGTGTTGATCAGGCCTAATCCTGAGAAAGTTTTAGTGTTGCTCAGGCCTAATCCTGAGAAAGATCAGTGTTGATCAGGCCTAATCCTGAGAAAGATGCAATATTGATCAGGCCTAATCCTGATAAAGTTTCAGTGTAGATCAGGCCTAATCCTGGGAAAGTTTCAGTATAGATCATGTTGGCCTAATCCAAAAATAGCTTTGGTGTTTTTGTTTTACTTAAATTTAAAAAAGTAGCACAAAAACTTTCACAGATATTTTGGTTGAATGTAATAAAAAATAGGATAATAACATCTAAAAAGTTTAAGATTTAATTAAAAAAACGTTTTGTAACATAAGCTGTAAACCTCACCTCATAGTCCACCTCCAGAGAGTCTTCCTGACCCTGTGTACGGAAGTGCTGGGTGTCTCTGTCCACTGTGAAGTTCACCTGCTTGTTGAAACGCTCTATGAGAACAGAGTGCCATAGGTGGTCGTCTAGGAGGCTGCCCGACATTACTGAGGTGTGCCTGCCACTGGACTGGGGCTTAGCATCATCTGTGCAGAGAGAAAGACAGAGAGAGATAAATAGAGGGGTAGAGAATATCAGTCTCCTGGCTGTTGGGAGAAATAAGAACACCTGAACCAGCTGAACTACAGTACCAGTCAAAAATTTGGACTACTTAATAACCAAAAAGCGATATTCAATGACCAAAAAGTGCTTTTTTAGTGCAAATTATATTTTACAGTCATCAAAGTAGCCCATGTTTGCCTTGATGCAAATCTTCACTTGTTCACTACATTCCGCCTTAATCTCTCTCCTTCACTCTCTAGTCTTTGGCATATTCTCAAGCTGCTACGTGAGGAGCCATCTGCAACGTTTTTCCAAGAAACATGATGTTTCACATATGCTAAGCACTTGTTGGCTGCTAAAAAGGAACTTAATTTATTTAATTTCCAGTCAGAACAGCCATTTTACATGCACTCATTTTTCAGTGTCAGAAAAAAAAGTAGTAAACATTATTTACCAGAAAATTACACAGAAGTCTCACCAACTAAATATATCATATTTTTCAGTGTCTCTCCCCTTTTTTATTACAACTTTTTTTCCTTCCATTGCAAATAGCAAAGATATTTTTCCACATCTCCAAAGTTCAGTCTTAGAAGTTGGTTGGTCATGATCCACATAACTTCAAAAACACTCAATTATGTTGAGGTCTGGGCTCTGAGGTGCTCATTGTTCAGGAAGGCAAGTGTTTTTTTTTTTTTTTTGCAGAAGTAAGAGAGGAGCTTGATTTTCTCCTTTCTTACAAAGATGAAAGCTTACTGTTTATCTGATGGTGACAGTTTTGGTGGTCTACGAGGTCTTGCATGGTTCTTAGGAGTCTGTTTTTTAACTTGGAAATTCCAAAACAGTTTCTTGCAGTATGTTCATTGATTACACTCTAAAGCTGGGCCTAAACTATGCAATTTTTTTGACCTCGTTTTGCCCCCTCTGACAAATGTTCGCAACCTAAAGCGATTTTCCAGGTTGGGCGCTCGAATGGAAGCGACTGACAGTGTAGACGATCTGATGTGAGAGAGGAAATGAGTCAATCTTTAACCCTCCGATTGATCTCTGAGGTGATTAGAAGCCCTCCAGTGTGTGAAACTCACTGGTATTCAAGTGCTCCCATGTTGCCTGGCCTCTCCAGCAATGGCTGGCTGCTAACTCACTCACCATAGTGGTGCAGATGTTAGCTTCAATGGAAACCAAATTTTTGGTGCTATTTTTTATTTTTTTGCAACCAATCAGTTTAACAATTCTTCTGGAAATGTTCTTTTCCAGATTGGTAATGCACTCTTCATTGAGATCTTAGACATCTTCTCTTTTGTCTTCTGGTTGAGAAATGAGTAACACACTCACTCTTTCCACCAAACTCTTGGGAAACTGGGTGAGATTTCAGATTTACAAACATGCTACAGGATAGTTTAAAGCTCTTCAGAGATACTCCAGACATAGTTACAGTTGCTAGGCTAGGAAGAACCAACTGAGTGAACTAGTTTGGCCTGAGGCAGACCAGTGCTACATCTCTAGTTATTTAAGATTACCAAAGACTGTGGGTGAAGCAGCTAAACAAAGACTTTCTGTTGAATTTATATCTGAGGGTCTATTTTTCCCTAACAGACAGCACAGAATCATAATTGGGTTTATTTTCAGGGACACCCTCCCCCTTCCAGAAATTTGATTTTGAGACATTCAGGGGGTCAAGAGGTTAATTAGGGGGTCTCGGACCCCTAAGGACCTCCTGTATTTCACACCTTAAATCCCTCCAATATTTTCAAACATCTTTGATTTTTATGACTCAAAACATTCACGAGTCCTGTAGATCGAGATGTGAAGCGATGTAACTGAATGAGTGATTAAGGCAGACAAAGAGACAGCGAGGGGAGAGAGAAGAAAGGTGCATGCACTCAGATAGAGGAGCTGCCTGTTGAGTTCAGGCAAAGAATTACTCTCTTTACAGTCTGAAGTCACAGCCAGTTCGTAGTACATTTTTCTTCAGCTCTGATAGTGACATCTGCTTTCAACCTCATTCATCCCCAGTTTGTGTTTTCGTTATACCGGGCCAGCTGAACGTTGTTAGTATCACATGATAATAGGTGGGCTCTGGGATTTTGAGTACTTTTCGTAGCCAAAACTTGTTATGTGTTGTACCTTCTTTTTACTTTATCATCCAGTATGCGTGTCCTCACACCAAAAAAAAGACAGGAAATGGAAGCTTTAGCGAAAGTTCTGCTATAAAGACTTGAATGCTACATCATTCAATCATTCATTCATTACTCCTGACCAGGAGTTAGGATTTGAAGTCATGTAGTGTACGCCCAGCTGAAGTGGCTACTGTAGACAATGTTCAGACTTTGCCAAATACAGTTTCAGCAGATGTGAAAGGTTTATGTTTGTGTGTACAGACTCGATGTCTAAAAGGGTAAAACTAAAGATGAGGTTTTGTGCTGAAAGCTTGTGGCAGCATCTTAACGTGTGTGTGTGTGTATGAGAGAACGGGTCGCTATAGCAACACCTTTCTGGGTAGCACTGGAGGTGAGTGTGAAAGCCTGCGTGTGAGCACTTGAACCCAGTGTCGCTGTAAACATCCCCCTCGCTCTCCTCATCTCAGCACTCTGTCCTCTTCACTCGTTCACTCCGCTCCCCCTTAATCCCTCTCCTTCACTCTCTCACCATCACTCTCTTCTCCAATTTCAATTCCTTTGCAAAAACCCAATCCCCTCTTATTCACACTTATCTGTCATCCCATCTCTCTCTCTCTCTCTCCCTCCCTGGCCCTCTCTCTCCTTATCACTCTCTGTCTGTCCGTCTCCCTCTCCCCCTCCTTCCCACCGTCTCTCAGGCTCGCTTTCACTCTCTTTCTCTATCCACTGCGCCTGTAAAATGGAAATCATCTTGGATGTTTTTAATGAATAAAATGGCATCAAATATTTTTTTTCCACGGAACTCTAAAAAATGAACAGAACACTGTTGGTACTCTGTATGTTTGAAATGGTGTGGCTCTGTGTTGAGCTGCTAGTGAGCAATGAGGAACCCACTGCAGTGAAAACAATTCACACCTCTCTTCAATGACGACTGTGCCAAGTTAAAAAGGACTGCACAAGTGCTACGTTCGTCATATCAACAAAAGGTTGTTCATTCACTTTTACTTGCTACTTTTACTTGCTCTAAAAAATGCACTGATTACAACATCTGTTACCATCTGATACCATGTGATGTAAGTCTAGTGTATGTTGCCTCACAAACGAACAAACAACTTAAGCTGGCAGTGAACAAGGGTCTACCAGCACAGTGAAGTGTTGCGGACGTCATGGCTGTGGGACGCAAACTCGTTGGTCACTTTATACATTTTGCCTTGGAAACACCACAAACACAACCGCTTCCTGAATATGGGTGAATGTAGGCTAACAAAACAGGCACAAGGCACATGTAGGCTAACAAAACAGAGGCAAGAAAGTCATCATTTGCAGTACCAAAGTCCATACATGCCAAATTTACCCTTTTTGAATTAATAAAATTTAAACGTATAAACGTTAATAAAAACGTAGATTTTTTTGAATCGTCTTTGTAAAACACGCTATAGAGATACCATATTGTTCTACCAAGTACATCACCGCCTGCTTTTAGCTTCAGTGCACAGTGTGGCACAAGTTAACAAAGCTGCTGTAGCTCAATTTCTCAGCATGTTTGCTTGGCCTTCTGGTGCACAACATGTTCTTTTGAATGAAACGGCTTTATTTGACATTGTCTACAGACAGAGTTATCTGTAGGGGTTATGTTTCACATGCAGTGTGCGCACTAATGTTGCAGCAATCAGACAGCATTTTTGTACAGTGTAAGCATATAAATCATAGGCTTTGTCCATGCATGATGGTCTATTTAAATACACAGTGTGAGCTGTCACAAAAGAACAAGATCTCTAAAATCACACACTGAATGCCTGACTTTAGAGGACACTCAACAACTCAATCAACCAAACAAATGACTTCAACAGCATGATAAACTCAACAAATGAGCTTCTGGGATGCATTAGCCTAGGATATGATTCCTGCTGACACTGTGCTACACTGATGTTGAAAGAGACAGATGATGAGCAGGAATCAAAACTATGAAATGTACTTTTCTTTTATGCAACAAAACCCTTCTCTGCTGCAAAGCTACTTGATCCAAGGTTGCTAACCTAACATATCTAGCTAATGCACTTCATTTAAAATCAGCTAGATTGTAACAATTTATTTGTACATCATACTCATTTACACTAACATCTTAATTCTAGGTAATTTACTTATTATGGGCAGTATTGGCAAATATCACCAACCTATATTTGGTCTGAAAAAAAAATATTAATGCATCCCTAAACAAACCCATGTACACCTGTCATAAATAGCATTTAAACCTTATAAAAACACTTTAATAAATGTTAGCTAGCTTGCTCATCTTTGAAGACAGAGCTCAAGTTGATTCTGTTTTGAAAATCAGTCACATATTTATTTATTGAAATGTGTTCCATCAACGCTACTGGAGGAAAGAATATAACGCAGACTTCAACTGAGGGACCTCCAAAACAGGAGGGAATTGCATTTCATGGCTAATATGAAAAATGATGGAATCACACTTTTAGATGAGCATTTCTGTTGATGCATTAATGAATCAAAGTAAATAAAATATAACCCTTTCACAAGAAATTCTGGCCATCTCCAACAGTCCATCATCCAAAATTGACTGTAAGACATCGGCAGAACACTGTAAGGAATTAGCAGCCTATATGTAAACATGATCAGATCATAAATCCAGAAGAAATTGTTATGTGTTATTTGTGTTGATTGTTATTATAAGTGATTTTTTTTTTAATTAGCTGTTTCTTGCACGAATAAATGAAGTGCACTTCACTTCATGACTTCTGATTCTTTTATTCCTTGGAACTGACAAATAAAAAGTGTTTTAAAATAATTTTTTAAAGATACAAATACAAGAAGCCCAAAGGATTGCCAGGAATCACAGCATTCTAGATATGATAAGAAAATGTACTATATATAGATACAAACAAGTGAATGTTGCTTTTATCTTTTAACACGTTTGTTATGGTCTTCCTTGTATTTATGGGCAGGTATATGACATTGTGCCACTCTGAAAAACGAGTGACTGAAAGTGTGCACATTGCCAAGTATGTTAATGCTGTTAATTACGTGACTGAGAAGGCAGAGACAGCTAAGGCTAACTACTCTAGCTGATATTAGCTAGATCCAGAAACATTGGAAATATGTTTCTATGACAAACTATAATGTGAGTACATGATCCACTGAGGATAAAATACCCATGTAAGTTGACGAGTCCTCATCTAGTGTTGTACCACTTAGCTGAAGCAAGTTAGCCCACATTTAGCTAGTCGTCCAGTATGAAATCTACCGATTTCCCTTGTTTTGTTTTTTGAAAAATAAAGCATGTTTTCATATATATTTCTTTGTTTGCCGCTAAATTGTTGTGCTATTGATTTTTTAAGCCTCTTAAAACTGCAGCTGGCACCAAAAAGACTAATGTTAAGCTTCCAGCCTTAAGTTAATTTCAGCCAAAAGTACTCTTTTCCTTCGCTGTGGCTAACCAGGTATCTGTTAATTAACTCTTGCAGATACTCAAATATCAAAAGTAGTCAGAATCATTGTGAGGCTAAGCTTGTGTTGGTGGCTCTCAGGGCCATTTGTATTAGGCTAACAGAGGTTAACATTGGCTAGCTTGTATCTGAAACATACTACAGAGCATAAAATATCAACAGCACATATTAGGCAAGGTTATTTGATTCCAGAAATGCATAACATAACCAATAAAGCATAATTCTTCTGCAATAATTTTTTTAGAGTGATATGAGTCTAAAATACACTTAAAGCATAAGCAAATGCTTTTTGTGCACGGCTGCACTGCAACCTGTGTGCAGTAGTGATAGTGAGTCTATCCCAAAAGATCCGATTCTTCAACTCCGACTAGGAATCAGAGTCGACTCTTGGCAAGAGACTCTGAGATTCAAAAAGACTGGAGTCAACTCTGGCATGTAAAATGTTTGTGTGTGAAGCAATTATTGTTGGATTTTCAGGCTTGGCGAGCAAGTCAGCATTACCCTGCTACAGTAATCAAGTCCTTCTGTCTATTTTATGCCAGCGCTGCTGACCACCTGCAGTAAGTGCAAACTCTGGCCACAAAATGTCTAGATGTCTGCACTTCACCTTAAGCAGCTGCATATGCAGTTTACGCTATGGAAATCTAAGCTCTTCACAAATATTCTTCACACTATGGCTGCTATAAACAGGGATTCGAAATGAGAATGTTGTAGAAAACTTGAAAACAAAAACCGTTTTGGAGTGAAACCATTATTTTTAAACATGGTTAACCAGTAAGTAGCATTCTTTGGTTCGGGTTAATTTTCATAAAACTGTGACTACAGTTTTATGAATTTACTGATTTTCCCATTACAAGGCTTTGGAATTTTGTCTTGTAGAACATCCAGTCACTCTGTCTCCCTTCTGCATGGCTTATCTTTATGAAGTTGGTGGTATTGGTTTCCGTTTTAATCATTAAAAATCTTTTACTTTTTATAATGATTTAAGCCAGCTTCCATCAGAAGAAAATCCAGTAGAAGTAGAATAAGTTCCAACTAATGAACAGTCCAAGTTCTTTTTTACTCACAGTGAACATACACCGATCAGGCATAACATTGTGACCACCTCCTTGTTTTTATGCTCATTGTCCATTTTATCAGCTCCACTTACTCTATAGGTGCACTTTGTAGTTCTACAATTACAGACTGTAGTCCATCTGTTTCTCTGCATACTTTGTAAGCCCTGTTCTTCAGTGGTCAGGACCCCCATGGACCCTCACAGAGCAGGGTGGTGGATCATTCTCAGCACTGCATTAACACTGACATGGTGGTAGTGTGTTATTGTGTGTTGTGCTGGTCTGAGTGGATCAGACACAGAAGTGCTGATGGAGTTTTTAAACACTGTGTCCACTCACTGTCCACTCTATTAGACACTCCTACCTTGTCAGTCCACCTTGTAGATGTAAAGTCAGAGACGATAGCTCTTCTGCTGCTGCAGTTTGTGTTGGTCATCCTCTAGTCCTTCATCAGTGGTCACAGGACGCTGCCCACAGGACGCTGTTGGCTGGATATTTTTGGTTGGCGGACTATTCTCAGTCCAGCAGTGACACTGAGGTGTTTAAAAACTCCAGCAGCACTGCTGTGTCTGATCCACTCAGACCAGCGCAACACACTAACACACCACCACCACATCAGTGTTACTGCAGTGCTGAGAATGATCCACCACCTAAATAGTACCTGCTCTGTGAGGGTCCATGGAGGTCCTGTTCACTGAAGAACATGGTAAAAGGGGGCTATCAAAGTATGCAGAGAAACAGATGGACTACAGTCTGTAACTGTAGAACTATAAAGTGCACCTATATAGTAAGTGGAGCTGATAAAATGGATAATGAGCATAGAAACAAGGAGGTGTTCATAATGTTATGCCTGATCGGTGTATGACTATGATCTGTTACAGCTCTAAAAGTGGGTAAACTACAAGTAGGATGCTTTACTTGTCACTACATCTGTGTATCTGTGGCTCTGGTGCTGTTTTGGTTAAAATTAGGTGGAGTTGAGAAGTCGACTCCATCGACTCTGGTAGCAGAGAGCTTGGAGTCATAACTTGTGTGCAGCTGGTAAAGGCTAAAGGCATTTAACTTCGATTAACCCAGACATGTGTTGCAAATGTCAATATGTTTCAACTGCAATTTAGACAGATTTGATGCACAGATAGAAGCTGATTGTCGCATCAGCGTTTGAAGCTAAAAGTTGTAACACAGTGTATAAATTCCACCAGTGGGACCAGTATTATGTAGGGACCATCCAAGGAAAATCCCACTGGTGGGACTGTACTTGTAAAATGGTGTATATATTGCAAGACATACTCCCTATCCCTTAGCCTAACGCTAACCCTAACTTGTCCATATCATTGCAGACCTTTTATCCATCAAGGGCCTAACAATTAATAACAAGAAAGCTGCAATGCAAATGCTATTCAAGTTAAACCATCACTACATCTGTTGTAAACATGCCTATTTGCGTCTCGTCTCTAGACGAGGATTTTCTGGTTTAAATATTAGGAAAACCCCCTTTTGATCATGCATCATGAAGGTGGGAGGAACTTTTGAAAACCTCCTGTGCTTTGAGGCGAATACCTGAGGGAAGGCTGTTTTTCAGCAGGCTTGTTAAAGCAGAAACTAATGTTCCTGCTAGGAAGCTAAATATCACAGCTGTATTTATTGGCCTCTATGTCAGTGGCTATGCTAGCAGCCAGGATTTCTATACCACCAAATGGTAATATTCAGTGATAGACGAAGACACAAAAAGTACACAAAGTTTTGAACTCTGTTAATCTGATGACAACAAGGGACGCAATGCTGTACTTTAGCCTGCAGCCGCAAGTTACTCTCAAGGAATTGTGAAATTGCACAGCATAACACAACAAAAAACATATTAAATGTTAGTTGTAGGCCAGAATGCCCCTTTAACATTTCACCCACTTTATATTGATCAAGATGGCATTCACCGTAAATGTCAGAATATATAACTTGTCATATTTTGTATCTGTTGTAAAAAGGACTATTGCCTAATGTCAGAGCTTCTCCTGATTGGTGGTTCAACACATCTAAGTGATACTATCACCAAGATACAATATCAAAGAAGGTTTGGACTGCATGTACGTTCTTTTTCTGGTGCTTCTGTATCATGAGACACCTCTGTGAGAGAAAAGTACAATGCTTATCTCTCTGTCTCCTTTACTTTCTCTCACACTTCGTACCCAGGTTGAGATGCAGCGCAAGTCGGCCTCTCTGGAGCTCCAGAGTGATGTAGTCTCCTCTTTGTCCCTCGCCATGAACCAGCACACCCTCCGCCTGCCTGCTGCGGAAGCGCAGCGAGATCACGTTCTTCACCGTGCTGGTGGACTTCTGGTTGAATCGGTACAGCAGAGCGCTGCGGCCATCGAAATCCGCCACGTCCGACTCTGAGGAGCACATTAAAGCAAAGGTTCAGTCAAACATCAAATGCAGTTTTCCCCTCACCAAATGTAGTTGATCAGCCAAGACTTGTTGGGTGACTGAAGTTTGCTTCTGTAGTTTATGAAGTAGTGTAAGCATGTAGCCACAAGTTACTCACACAGAATTGTAAAATTGGTGCACTATGCCGTCCTGGCTTTTCATATTCTGAATAAAGACATGCCCACCCATTACATTTCATTACCCCTCTGCCAGTCAAAGCAGTATGGAACTGGAGCTGATGCTAATGAGCAGCTATCAACTTCCATTATTCCGCTACTCATTAGCCTTTCAGCTCCAGTACAAAAACAAAAGAAGCAAACTTCAGACACCAAACATGTCTTGGCTGATCGACTACATCTGGGGTGAAGGGAAAATTGTGTAACTTAGATTTTTGGCCTAATTATAATTTTAACCTTTAAATCACTAGTTACTGTCATACCACTATACATTTGATTTACGTTCTGTATAAATGAGGAAAATGTAAAGAATGTTACAAACAATACAACTTCTCCATATTCAAATCATAATACATCCTCTTCTCTTTTACTTAAAAGTTGGTGTTTATTGTCTGTAATGCATAATTTTCATTAAAATCAATGGCAAGTGATGTGTTTTTGACAGATACAAAAAAGTAACACTTCCTATGAATGTTGAAATTATAATCCTTTAAAAATTCATTTAAAGTGTATTATATTGGATACACCTTATTATTCCAGGAATAAGCTTGTTATCAGATAATTAGATGCAAAATAATTCATATAGCAAGAGTTTATGACATCATAAAGTCATTTTCCATAAAACATTATATTATCAGTTGAAAAACACTGTACACACTAATGCTGTAATGTACACATGGCACTTTATAGGGCTTTATGCCAGTTCATTATTGGATTTAAATAAATGAGTTTCTTAAAGGTCTTTTAAATGTTAAGGAAATTTCATTTCAGCACATAATACCTTAAAGAACATTGTAAGTACTCATGAAGTGAGATAATCACATCTAACTGGTAATACAGGACAGACAACTTTTGTGTATTCAATATTATATAAAATGAGAGAAATCTCAGGGCATGAAGTGAAGCACTGCTTCAATTTCTTAGAAAACTAAAAGCAAACTGTGTGGTGTGGGGGAGTCATTCATGCCATCGAGGGGTCTGTCATACACACTCAGATGTGGATCACTCTGCTCCATCTGCCAGTGCAGAAATGGTTTAAGGCCTGAGTTAGCAATGCTAGCTTAAAGCTATTGCACATTTGCTAAATTCCTAAACAATTCCTGTGTTATAGTACATTACAACATACATGTTTACAATGTTCTTATGAACAGACATTATAATGCATTATGAAACTTGACGTTATAAACTTATATACTCTTCCAACTGTTATGCATGTAAAACTACTTATAAGCCATGATACAAGCTTATGCCAGGCATTGTAAGGTATTACGTATGCCATATAACGCCTTAAAAACACATTAATAAAGCTTTATACGTGATTCATAGGAAGTCCTTGAACGTAGCCTCAGGAGTGGTGCATGAGCAGCTGGAACATGTCACCTACATCCTACAACATTGAAGATGTTCTTGTAAGGCAGTGTCAACAAGTGAGAGCTTTACAATTAAGCTGATGCTTAATGCATGGCACAAGGTCAAGTACCTACAGTGGTGGGGTGGATGAATAACGTCATTGTCATCTTACTTCTAATCATAATCAGTATGAGGTCTTAGAGGTCACCCTCTAGCATGAAAAGTACATATATATATATATATATATATATATATATATATATATATATGACCTTGTCAGTAATTTTAATCTTCAGTGACTGTCATGGTTGGCTTACAAAGAACGAAAGAAAGAATCTGAGCTTAGATGAGTCAAGAGACTCTTCAAAATTGTGGAGGGAACATAAGGTCACATCAAATCCCCATCAGCTGCAAAGAATTTCAGACCTCTTGAGATCTATATTAAAAAAGAATAAAAATCTTGCAAAGGAGAGAATGCTCAGAATGCATGAAGGAACAAGAAATTACTTCAATAATCCTCTTTGAAAAGCACACATGCATATTCATGCACTGAATCATTAATATGTTGAGTATGTGGCTGGGTGTGTATGTGTGTAAGTAGCCTTACTGTAAGTGCAGCCATAGATTTCCAGCCTGAGCCCCATGCCTCCACTCGGGCTTCCTTCTAGAGGCACTAGCCGCAGGTATCTGGTCCTGACGGAGTGCAGAAGCTTGTGCTGGACCACTGAGTCTGTGTCTGTGTTACCTGGAAATGTCTACACACAAACACACACACAAAATATATGGAATATGGCAACCATCAAACAAATACACTGTACTTGGCACCTTCCTTGTACTTATACTCATTAGCCATTTTATCAGGTACACCTACAAGTCGAAGGCCATCCTTCACTTATTTAATTTCCACTCAAAGTCCAATTTTTCCTTTTCAGGAGATATTTCTGAAGATATTAGATGTAATCCATTTGCAGGAAAACTGAAGTCAACTGAAGTTTCCAAAACCAGAGTTCAAATTTAGTTTAGATAAAGAGAAAATGAGACTCCTAACGCTCATGCAAGACCTGGTAGACCACCAACACTGTCACCAATCAGATAAACAGCACTTAGAGCTTTCATCTTTGAGAGCTAGAAGAAAAAAACGCTCCACTCTTCAGATCTGAATAAATCCACAGGTATTTTTTCTCCATCCTTTAACTGCGAGAAAACAACTCCACACTATGAGTCTGAAAGGATGTTTAGCTTCCAAGAAGCTGCTACTGAGAAAAGAAGACAATTTGAATATCAAACAAAGCTGCTGCTGTTCTCAGAGCAATAGACTGGGAAACCCAGATGATTGTATGTTTGGGATTACTTGGATAGTGAGAAGCAGAAAATGCAACCAACTTCTAAGACTGAACATCTAAAACTGCAGATTTCTTTCAAAAAATGAAAACAAGTCTCCTAAAAGGATGGAAACTGGAATAAAAGCAAAGGGTGAACACAATACTGAAAATGTGAAATTATATTTAGTTGTTGACACTTGTGTGTCATTTTTCTGTTTAATATGTCGTCTGTCTAAAGAAAATTATGTATCTCCATTTTTGCCAATTTTTATTTTTCTACCTCATGTTAACACACCAGCTGTTCTTTACCTTGTGTAACATTTTATGATGAATGGACCAAAAGAAATGCTCCAAAATCACTTAGAATAAAATCTCTTTAAATTAACTTACATTAAAAGGTGAGAGGGTTTTTGCCTTCTCCTGTTAAGTTACTATTTTGGAGATATTTGTTTTTCTTTGGACAGTGACAATATGCTTTCTCTTTTTTTCTTACACTGAAAAACAAGTAATTGGCCTCTATAAGTAGAAATTAAATAAATGAAGGGTGGTCCCTGACCTTTGCACTGACATGGTAGTATCATTACTAGTAGCATTGTACTGGGACAAGTGCAAGTGCGTCACGGCAGCATTGCTTGGAATTTTAACCACCTCAGTGTCACTGCGTCTATAAGAACAGTTTGCTAACCAGAGCCATCCAATCAGATTTTAGAACCATTGATTTTATAATGACCAGTGGGTGTAGGTGCAAGGTGGCTATAGCTGGATAAAATGGCAATGTGTATGTCCAAATGTACTCCAGCACCCTGTTTTTTCAATATTTCTTTTGAAATCAAGGGTATTAATAAGAAAGTGGTCCTCCTTCCAGTGGATGTTGGAATACTGCTGCTGAGAGTTAGCCACAAGAGCATAAGTGAGGTCAGGTGCTGATGTTGGCCGATTACATCTGGCTCACATACAGCACTCCAGTTCATCCCCAAGGTGTTCCATGGAGCTCCATCACTCCAGAGAAAGCAGTTCCACTGCTCTGTAGCCCAATGCTGGAGAATGTCACCCTTCTCTACCTGGGGGATGGCACTGTGGTGTGGTGGGCCCTGGTTTGTATGCAGCTGCTCCAGAGCATTCTACTGTACTGCATAAGCTTTTCTTATGAGATTGCATGGTTGTGCATATGTTAATATCTGCATTCTTTAAAATGGGAGGGGGGCAGAGAAGACCACTTTTGGTTCCCTAAAGAACTTTCAGAGGATGGTTCTTTGAAGAATTTTTGTAAATGAGATGTGTGTAAAGAATAGTCTTAAAGTTTTACATAATGTAACATTTTTAGACTGATTAGGAAGAAATATTTATTATTATAAGTGTATGTAAGCAATGGATGGGCATATATCTTACGTTTTCCACTTATGGTGTTTGTGTTGTGTGGGTTTATGCACCACAGTCATAATTCATTTCTACATGTCTACATGCCATTGTCCAACCTCATGGTAAAACTTTCATGCAACTTTGGTTGCCTGAAACCTACCTGAAACTAAATTGCACTTGAGCTGCGTAACATAAAGCATCCTGCAACTCATATGCAACTTACCCGCACCAGTTGCAAGCATCTCAACTGCATGGTCTACCACTTAATTTCTCAGCTGTCATTGCTTCTAGATGCTTCCATTTAGCATTTACAGTTCCAATAGCTTTTACAGTTGACCAGGGCAGATCTAGCAGGACAGAAATTTCATAAACTGACTTGTGGCCATGTGCCACGTGTAAAATCACTGAGCTCTTCAGTGCGGCTCATTCAGCTGCCAGTGTTTGTCCGTTGACACTGCATGGCTATGTGCTTGATTTTATATACCTGTTAGCAATGGGTGTGGCTGAAACACATGAACTCTATAATTAGGAGGGGTGTCCACATACTTTTTGCTATATGTAAATGAACATCACAAAAACAATAGACATAATGTTTACACACTATATTAAACTCTTTTATTTCAACAAAATGAGGAAATTTTAATGCCACTGAATCCAATACTAATTAGAAAGGGCATCTGGATACTTTTGGCCATTTGTACATTTTGTCACCTTGCGCCTGCGTATCCGGTATTTCAAGATATATTCGGATTCACTGTATTGACATTTGCGTTATTAATAGAAGGGCTTCAGCGATTGTGCTTTGAGAGCAGAGTTTATTGTTTGAGCCGCTCCACTTGATATTTGCGTCTTGATCCCACAGCGGTGATGCAATTAGACCAAATGATTTCTGATGAGTGTCGGCTCGCTCTCCGCTCTCGCCGCTAACGTCTGCAGGGCCGCTTTTGTTTTGTCAGTTTTATTAAAGTGTCCCGAGTTATAAATCCCCTCGCTGAGAACAAGACAGCGGGTAGGGTTACAAACATGGCTGCCATTTCAGAAGCACCTCAAAGGTGAACAGAAGAGACAGCATTCAGAAAAGTGTCAGCAGATAGTGGGCATCTTATGTGCATCATTAAACGTAATGAGACATGAGACGAGGGACGGGCAAAACAGGGAACAGAAGGGATGAAAGAAAGGAGGGAAAGAGAACAGATCACAAAAGCAGCATGTGATGTTGAAGAGATCCGGTACGACATGGGCAGATGAGACGGAGGGGCAGAAAGATGAAAGAAGAAGACAGGGAGAGCAATGAAAGTGTGGGTGAAAGCAGGAGACAGTGTCTGGTTGCAATAGCTTTAGTGCGGGGAATGATTGCCGTAATGTTTGCTCACTGCAAAGCAATTTAGAAACGCCGCAGACTGGCTAGACTAAACGAGGGAGAGAAGTCTGGGCTTCTATAACACTGTGGAATGGTGTAAATGAACTGAGCTTCATGGGGTGCGTTCAATTATAGAGATAAGCGGGGAGTTCACAACACTGACATCACTACACCTCCAATCTTTATCAACACACAAGAAACTCAGAGTGAAGGAGATATTATGGCACTTTATCTCACAGTATAATTAACAGCTAGTATTTAGTACTAAAGTAGTAACTAATGTCTGAATATCTGGTACATATTTTGCATGTTGGGAATTAAAGTACATATTAAGTTGTGTGAAAACTCCCAGATACAAACCCATTTCCAAAAAAAGTCAGAAGGTAAAATGCAAATACAACCAGAAAGCAGTGATTTATAAATTCACTTTGAAGACAAGACATTTAATGTCTTACCTTTTGAACTTTATTATTTTTGTAAATATTCACCCATTCTGAAAGTGATGCATGCAAAACATTCCAAAAAAGTTGGAACAGGGGCAGTTTAAGACTAGAAACATAGTAAAATGTTCCAAAAAAAATCAATTTCTTTATGAGCGAATATGGGCTGAGGCTCGCCACATCGCTAAAACTGTCAACAGCTTAAGAATAACATCTTCAACAAGCAGTTGCAAGGATTTTAGGTATTCCACCTTCTACAGTGCAGAATATCATCAAAAGATTCCAGAGAAATATGTACCAGACATTAGTTTTAACTGTTAAATATGTAATACTACTACTAATAATAACAATACTACTAGTAATAATGAATACTATATACTTGCTGTATTGTAAAATAAAGTAAGTGCTAGAGAATTTTTTTGAAGAGTGAAAGAAGGATTTGTGAGGTTGAGAGGACAGGAGAGGACAATGAGGGTATTTATTCCCTGAGAGAGAGAGAGAGAGAGAGAGAGAGAGAGAGAGAGAGAGAGAGAGAGAAACCTCGTGAGAGCGATAGAGAGAGAAGTATGCAGAGAAGGGTGGGTTTATCAAGAGAATGAGAAATATGTATTTATAATGAAAGTTTAATGAGACAGCGTGACTAATTTTCTTTGCTTAATTAACAGTTAGTACAAGAGGCCTAATTTTGATCACTGTGGTTTAGCTGTCTTGAAGCCCATTGTACTTTATACTAATTCATTTTTATGGCAAAGGGCTTCAGAAAAGGGGGCAGCAAATTATACAGAGAGGGAGAAAGAAATTCTCTGGTAGTCTAGCAGATAATAGAACAATTTCTAAATGGGCACAACCCTGAATAGACAGGCCTCTCACATCCAGCATCCAGAAAAGCAATAATAATAATCATAATAATAATAATAATAATAATAAGAAGAAGAAGAAGTAGAAGAAGAAGTAGAAGAAGAATACACGATGAAGTATTATTTAGAATTTTTGTACATCATACCTTTCAAGTGCAGTCAACAATATGCAGTTTTGTTCACTTGCATTTTGAGTAATAATAATAATAATAATAATAATAATAATAATATAATAATAATAATAATTCAAAATCCAGCCTAATCCAGTTCTTTAATGCAGGGGTAGAGTGAAAAAAGTTGATATAAGCACAACATGGAAGATAAAGAGAAGCCAACCTAATTTGAAAGTAATTCACCTTCTCATTCAGAGATGAAGGCTTTTGTGTCTAATCCTCCCACTGAACAAAATACTCACTA